GAAGAGAGTTTGCCATATGCACAATCTATTTTAAAAAAAAAACTTATATTTCTGTAACATTTGACACTAGGTTTAATAAATTGATTTAATCGATGAATTTTTGGCAGAGATTTCTGCATCACCTACAGAAGTGGATTAACTGACGTAAATTTCAGATAACTAAATGGATTTGCTCGAGAGCTGTGTATTTTCTTTTACCTTTTCGAAACAGGCTTTACTGTAGCACAAAGGAACTTTTAATTTACCATTTTCTTCCGCTTAATTTATTAAATTAAGAACATTGTTTGTCAAAAACGTAAAAGAAGATATTGTTTTTATCGCATCATTTCTTTTAATTTTATAAATTTATATATTTTATTTTCTTAATATTCTTTAACTTTTTGAAATTTTAAAAGTAAATTCTTACAGGCCTTAGATTGTAATTTGTAGTTTACAGATTGGAATTTTTTTTTTTTTTTTTAATCTTTCCTGTCGTTATTAGTGTACTTGCTTTTGTATCTTCTCCCAATGCGAAAATTATGCAAAAAGCTGATACATATGCTCTTCTTCCACTGAATTTCGACAAAGAAAACAGGCTGGTTGAACACAGAAGTTTATTTTTATGAATACGATTTTAATCAGATGAGAGATCTGCCCTTTTATAACGTGACTTGCAAAATAAAATGAAAAATGGATGTCATCATTTTTATTTTGATCAAATTACTTCCTCTGCGTTGTTCATCCTAGCGTAGAAAGCACTGACCTTAAAGTCGAAATCTCAGAATTTATTTCTGTAAATCGAATTATGAGTTAGTTCCATTTAAAGCAGTGAAAAAAAAGGCTTTGCAAATGATAAAATACAAGCAAAAAAAATATTATACTATTTTTGCTCGTTTTAAATATCATATAATGGCATTCGATTAATTCTCTAGTTTCAATAAAAGAAAATTTTATGTAAAAAAAAAATTTAAATGAAACTTTCACTCTAATTTATCTTGAATTAATTGTGAATGGTACACGCTTTTATACTGTATGTACAAATCTATTAAATGCAAATATTTCATTATTTGAATTTTTTCCTCAAATTTCTATTACAATTCATTGTCTCTTATGCTTAAATTTATTTGCAACATTAATGCACAGAAAAATTTTACGCATAGTGAGTATTTAAAATTTATGTCTTTAAAATTTAAGGGAATACTTTGTTATAAATTAATAAAACTAAAAAAGATTCAAATCTGTTTATTTTCCTTTTCCCTAACAGCAAAAGCATTTAAATATTTTTTTTTCATTATGCTTCAGTGTGGTGTAAAAGCAATTAAAATCAATTAAATATGAAAAGCATTTTCATCATCCTTTATATTTTTAGGTACACAGACATGGTGGGCTACCTAGAACAAAAATAAAACCTACTCACAGAGGCATTTTTGGTAATTAAACTATCTATAAATGCAACCACAGTCTCCTTAACATCTTTATGTGAATAATATATCATATGAATCGTCAAGTACCTTTCAAATTTGATGTTTATTTTTGAAATAATATCCAAAATAGAAAACCATTACGTAAAAACGAACTAAAATTCCTAATATTGAAAAATAAATTTCATTTCGAGCAGTTAGATAAAAAATATTCATTACTTTTTTTATCTAACTGCTCGAAATACTCTAAGATATAATGTCATTTACTCTAAGATATAATGCCAGAAAAAAAAATCCTACCGTTGCCACTAAATGAAAAAAAAAATCTGAAAGCTTTCAGATTTTATATTCCATCCAAAGAAGCGTTTACTTAAACCGCGTAAAATTCAACAGCAATATCATAAAATATTTAAAAATAGCATATCTTTAGAATTTCCGATAGAGAGTCTCGCGCGCTGGAGAAAAAAAATGTATTTTTCCGTACAGTATTGCCATTGATCGCTTTGGTATAGTTGAGTCTGCTAATCAAAAATCCGTTAATGTTTTACAAAATATGAAATAGATAATAAAAAAATTCAAAATTCAAAATTTGGGCTTTCAGATTCCCATTTTCAGATGGAAGATCATTTTATTCAAATTTTGATGGCTCTAGGTCCCGTCGTTTTTAAACAGTGCGAGAAACATACATACATTCATGCAGATTCTTCATCATTTAATTTCTTTTAAGTATAATACAGGGCGATAATATTTGGTGGCAACAATTTAAAAAGTGATACGCCGTTTATAATGAGTCGAGGCAAAATGTCGTTTCGAGACTAATAGCCCTTCTGGCTTAATGCTCCATTGGACTAATAATACTTTATATGTTCCCCTCTTTGCAACTTGAACCCTTCAGAAAGAAATTCAGAATCTTACAAGAACTCTTAGCAATAACTAATGCACCAATTTTGTTTATTTTTAAAGAAAAATACAAATAATTTTCGTTGAAAGAAATTTTGAGTTCTTTCCCCCCTTCTAACTTTGTGAAAGGAAACAATTTAATAAAATCATCGTTTTGCTGAATTAGGATCTAAATTAGTATTTGACTGCTAAAAATCGTGATAATATTGCTTTAATTTAAAATATTAACGATCCTTATATTTCTGTTATTTGGTATGGATAAATAAATTTTTAAGTTGTTGTTAATTTGTGACATAAAATCGATATAATTTTGTAAGGGCTTATGGTCTTTATTTCAGTTTCTAAGTTTCATTCGATTAATGGTGAAGTTAATCAAATAACAACGTTCAAAGATGAAATGAATTGCCATTTGTTTATCTGTAAAAAGGAATTCAAAGTCCTTCGGATGGTCTATTGATACGTAGATTGTCATTAACAGGGTGATCAGATTTTCTTCAATAAAAGAGTTTAGAGGGAAATTTTTAAATAATAAAACTATTTTTGTTGAAATAATTAATTTCATAAACAGCTTTGTATTTATGATATTTATAACTTATAAAATGCATTTTACTATGAAATGTTCCTTGAAATATATATAAGAAATATGACCAGGATAGATGTCAAAATATGAGAAGTATAAAATAGGTAATGAAAACTCAAAATCAAAACAAATATCAAGAAAGTTTCATAATAAATAATTTAAATAAATGCTTATTTTAGTCTTTAAAACAACATCGTATTTATTTCATATAAATTCCATACTTATTTGTTACATATTACTTATTTTTAATATAAAAATAGCATAACAAGGTTTTTAAAGAATAAGGCTTACGCAGCGATTGTCATGGAATACTCAAAGTAACAACTTTTTGAACTGAACTCGTTGTTGCCACAGAGCAAATCTTAATAATTACGCAAAAACATTAATTCATGTTGCCACTCAGAAAATCTTAATAATATTATAAAAACATTAAATTATGTTCCACTACAGCTTTGCAGAAACAAAAAAATCCTTCCTACAGAAAAGACATTTCAGAGAGGGAAATATGTTTGTTTCATATATTTGCAATGCTTACAGAAGGTGAAAGGTCTGGGCTATAAGGAGGGCGATTCCACACTTAACACCTAATTTTTTTCAGAAGTTCGCACGTTTGTTTTGCTGCATGCAAGAGTAAGTCATGCAAGAGCACAATGCCTTTCGACAGTTTACGTGGCCGTCGATTTTTAAGTGACTTTCGCTATCGTTTTAGTGTTTCACAATAATAAGATGCATTATCTGTGGCACCCTTCGGCATGAACCACGCCTTCTCTGTCGAAAAACAGCGTCATCATCACCTTTCCCGCAGATGAAACAGTTCGACACTTTGTTCGTGTCTGGGAACTGCAATGTTTCCACTCGAGGGAGCTGCGTTTCGTTTCAGGTGAGAAGTGGTGAATCCAAGTTTCATCTCTCACAATTTTGTCCCAAAACTCATTTTCTTCCGTTTGGTAGCGTTGTAGAAATGCAAATGTACTTTCAAAACGCTTTCCTTTATGTTCTTCCGTCAATAGACGTGGCACCCATCGAGCACAAACTTTACGAAATTTAAGGTGATCGGCAACAATTTTATGCACACTTCCATGAGAAAATTTGATACTCAGCATGCCTAGGCGTTGTACGGACTGTATTGCATCGTATGGGAGACATACAATGTATTAACAATCATACCAACCATGTAATATTGGTTTTTTGTAAATAGCTCTTTTTTTTTTTTTTTTTTTTTTTTTTTTTTTTTTTTTTTTTTTGTAATTTGCTCCAGGGAGAAAAAATCGCTATTTTTTTTTAATAATATCAAATTTATAGCATCTTTTTTGCTCTTTACCTTTTGTTTAATAAATAAGCTTTACAAATAAGTCAAATTTGTTCTGCTTTTAACTCTTCCTTTGCCTGATTTTGCATTATCCTTAATTTATGGACATGAGTGTAGTAAAGAACGCTTGCAATTACTTCCGAATGATACGCTTATTATCCTATAGAATATTTCCATGTCGGATTTTCTAGTGTACCATAACCACTGGATGCCATATTATTGGTCTTCTGCCATACTTAAATCAACAAAAAATTAAATACTCTTGAACAGTTTAAAAATAAGATTAATTTCATTTGACGTAGAGGAAAGTGTTAACATACTTTAGATTTTATTGGTTACTTTAGGTTCAAGATCTTATATCCGGTCTTCGTCTTCTACAGTATATGGAACTACAGTTTAACTTTGTAAAGATGTTATATTTTAATGGGAAGAAATGTAGCTTTTTGGGCATCAGTATTTTAGATACTTACTTCAACTGAGGTAATAAACAATATTATTTCAAAAAATGATAGTGCGATTTTTTTTTTTTTTTTTTTTTTAAAAAAACAATTATATTAGCGAAGTGACTAAGGGAAATGTTATGTCATTCAAATAAAATATTTGTCACTTCAGAATATATTTTACGATGAATTTTTTTGAGTCGATAAAATGTGACTTTGCTTTGCTTTATTCATTAACACATTTTATCCTCATAATGGTTCTATATTAATCTGAATTATTTGTTGCATATATTTTGAAACGATGATCTAGATAATAATGACTTTTACAAAACAATTCTCGAAATTATTAAATCAAAACTTTTGTTTTTTAGATGAAATTTTTGCTCCTTCTCCTAAGTTTCGCTACTGCTTCCCAAGCGAAGAAAGATGACCTCAATTACAGAGACGTATCTACTTTAACAGTTCCAGAAAGTGAGCTGGATTTGCTATCGTTAGAATCAACGGAGCAAGAAACGATTGTAAATCCTTCTGATGACAGTAAACAAGATAATATAGCTGAAGCGAGTCGTCATTCTATCGACTCAATATCTATAGATGAAACTCGTAGAAAGAACTCACCAAAATATAACTTAAAACTGCATAACGTTTCAGGTGATAATTATGATGTAATACATTGGTATAGCACGCCTATCAAGAAACCTGAAGATGATACATTAGACAGTAGCATTGATAGTCAGAGCAAAATCATAAACGATAAAAGAGATTTGAAAGCGCAAAGCAGTTACCGTCATTATGATGCCGAACATAGCGTTGAGGATGACCATAGTCACAATTACCACCATGATGAACATCCCCATGATCATCATGCTCCGTATAACAGTGAAGAAGATACCAGTGGTGAACCTCGTACATATTATCAGAAACCTCAAACAAAAAAACCAAGGCGAAACTGCTCACGTAAAGGAAAGAAAGCTGAAAGTTGGGTTGACAAGCCTGATACCATTGTCCACAGTAGATCTAACAGAGCCCATCAGGTTCCCTACTATGGTTCAAAAGATGAAATGAGCCCTGAAGGAAGGTTTTATGACGCGCCTAAAATGCCTAGCTTTCCTGAAGGCAGAGTAAACTCTATACCTGAGCTTTCCGACTTTTCCAAAGAACGATACAATCTACCTAAAACTTCTGATTTTCTACGCCATAGTTCAATGGCGTTTTCTGGCGAACACTTGCACGGAATTCCCAGAACCAATTTCTTTTATAAAAATGGTGAAAATGGAAACCATTTTCATTTGCACAATCATCACCATCACTATGGACCAGATGGTAAGAAAATTGGGCATATGCAAACTTATAGGCATATGATTGAAAATCTGGGGAAATTAAAGAGTTTAGTAGAAAAGGATTCCGCAGCACCGAATAGCTACTCTTCTTATTCGGATCTTGGATCACCAGGTGACGATGTTACAAAACCTAAAGTAGAAAGTAGGAAAAAAGGTTATCATTATACAGGACCTCATGAAAGTTATGGGCGGAAGACTTATTATAGAGTAAATGATGATTCTCCAAAATCTAGTCTTCCAGAATCCTACAGTGGTCCCCAGTCCTATAATAATCCAGAACCCTACAATAATCCGCAACCTTATAATAGTCCAGTACCTTATAATAGTCCCCAGTCTTATAATAATCCAGAGTCCTACAGAAGCCCACAGCCCTACAATAGCCCAGAGCCACACAGCGATGAAAGAAATATAGGTATGGAAATGTACAGATATGGCGCAGGGCAATATGGTACCGATGAGTTCCATGATGGACCTTTCCCAAATGAAGTTAGCCCAGGTATCCACTCAAGTAATGGTTTTACGCCTGACTATGAAAAACGAAATCCTCCATATTCCAGCCACGAAGAGTATAACACTAATTCTCCCCCAGATGCTCCATATCACTCTTATTCCGGAGACTATGAATCTAAGTATAATCAGGATGATAAAGGTCATAAGCATGATCAAAAACATGAAACAAAAGCCCCCTATACTCCATATGAAGCAGCTAAAGGAAGGCATGGAAATCATCAAAATAAGGATCATATAACCGAACATGTACATCCCTACCAAGGAGATCTTATCCACGAAGAAGAAAAAAGTGGAGGCTCGATACCTAATGATAACCCTCTTGAACATTCTGCAGGTAATGGAGAAGAAAGTCCTTTAGTAACAACTCACAGTGTCAGCTATTCCAAAGATGGTAAGCTTGCAGAAGATCCTAGTTTATTTGGACCAAAAGATCAGTTTTTCAACAATTTGAGACCAGATCCAGATCCTTTGTCCATTCCCAAAAATGCACTGATCTACGAACATCATATTCGACTTCATCCAATGCATTACAGAATGTTCCCCCCGTTACCAGTACAGGGACATTTCGGGAGAGCTATTGGCTATCCTGTACCAGTACATAAGCTCATTCCAAATCCTCTGAAGATGCCCCCTACTTTTGCGCCACCAGCTCCTATGTATCTTCACCCACGTGTAAATCAAATGCTCCATGCTTATCAAAGTCGCTCTTTATACCACAGGTGGTGGTAATTTCCGAAATGGAGCTATGGAACTTTCTTCCTGTGTGCTGAAAATGCATGTGTTTTCCTAAAATTTTGGACAGACAGAAAAATGTGTGATGAAACGGTATGCCTTATAATGGCAGCATTTGCGCTTTTCACATCTGAAATGACTTATCGAAATAATGTACAAGAACTGTAAATTTTTATTTTTTGTGTCATCGTTTTAAACTTTGACCACGCAATGCTTTCTTTGAAAATCGCTTCTTTAGGTGATATTCAAATCGTTACTCTTTCTCTTATTCTTTTTTGCTTACTGTAAATTCTAACACACCTTATTCGAGTCCAAATCAAAAGTTCTGTACTTGTTTTCATTACAACACAAAAAGCGGGATTTAAAAAATTATCTTCTTCTTGTTCCTGAAACAGTTTTGGTGAATTTCATGAAATATCATTAGTTAAAATATAACTTCTAAATTATTTTCAAATTCAGTTAGATATATATTTAAATATGCAAAATTATAGACATAGTTCAAGGTATTGCTTGTTCAATTCCAATCTAGTGCAGTCGCCATCTGTTGGTATTTTATATATCTTTTCTCTAAATTTAATCTTTTTTAGCTATCGGTATAATATGAGAAGTAGCCAATTCTCTTTTCTTCACTTAAACACATGCGATCATTAACGGACTTATTTTCATTACAATATAGAGCAAAATTTTGAAATTTTACGAGAACTGAAAGTCTCTGAATTAATGTAAAACTTTAAAATAATGCTATGGGGTGGAGAAAGAAAGAAACTCATAAATTGAATATTTTAACGATAGGAAATATTAACTAATAGTCTTTTAAAGACTTAAAAATAAAACTAGTTTTATTAAACACTTGAATTTGTTAATATAAAAACAGTTTGCACTTTTCTTGAATGTAATTCAGGTTAGAAGCAACTGCAATTCATTAATTGGCAAAATCGCGTGATCAGTTAGTTCGATGTGAAATTGCCAAAGACCAATTATGTAAAAAGCGGTTACACATACCTGTATATATAAAAGAGGAGATTGAATATTTGAATATTTTATAAATTGAAGAATAGAATTTATTTTATTCCCAACCTAGTATTATACATACCATGTGCCAAAAACAGCTATTAAAAATTTATATAGTTACGTTTATGAATGATGAAAGCTAAGTTTCTTTATTTCTTATTTTAAGATTTTGTTCTTGTTTAAAAAATGTTACATCACATAAAAGGATAAAGTTCTTGTCCTTGAAATGTCCTTTATATTACTGTTCAACGAGCGCAGATAAATCATGATATGTATATAGAAATTTTATGTTTGTAAATAAAAGAAATATTGTAGTGTCTGTATTCTTATAATTAAAGAATATTTATAATTACCATCGTTTCTCAGTGTTTCATATATTACAAATAATTAATATTATCCCTTTTCTATTCTCAAATTATAATTCTAAAACAAACGGTTTAGTTGTCGAATATACAGAGTGCGAAACGGTAAATACTATGGGAAAAAGTCACCAGAAGTTAGGACGGGCTGGAAGAATTTAAATGGTAAGGAACACATGGTTTTATACGTAAAATACAGAGTTCCATTTGAGGATTATAAACATTGTTTGTTTAATAAAAATGAGCATTAGAACCACGAACTTAATTGAAAGTACAAAACACGACTTTCATTCCGTTAAAGTGCACACAAAATCATTATCACCTACAGATGATAAACGCTATATTTTCGAAGAAGATATTCACTATAGCATAAAGCCATTATAAAGATTGCATTTAATTTTAAAAAATTTGAAAGTTTTCAGATTTTATATTACGCTCAAAGGAGTCTTTATTTAACGTTTTGTGTGTTACCTTTATTTATCATGTTCTTCGCATTTAAAACATAAAATTTAATTCAACAGCAATATGACAAAACAATTTTATAAAAGCATATCTTTAGAATTTCTGATACACAGTCTCGCATACTGGAGATATTTTTTTTTCGTACAATGTTGCCATTGCTCGCTTTGAAATCGCTGAGTTTGTAAATCAAAAGTTTTTTCAAAGTTTTTTTCATTACAGTTTTACAAAATATCAAATAGATAATAAAACAAATTCCAGTTTCCAAATTTGGGCTTCCAGATGCCCATATTCGAGTGGAGATCTACGTTATTCAAAATTTGATGTCTCTAGGTGCCGTTGTTTTCTCACAGTGCGAGAAACGTACATACATTTATGTAAATTTTTCATTATATAATTTCTTTAAATATAATGCAGGGCTCTAGTATTTGGTGGCAACAATGCGAAAAGTGAAACGCCGTTTATAGTGAACCAACGCAAAATTCGAAAACGAAATTAATAGCCCTTCTGGGCGAATTGCCCCTTCGGGCTAAAAATTAAAAATACTGTAGATAAGTTTATATCTGGGTCATATATAAGCAGCTAACTAAGTAATAACAAATAAGTCCTGTGCCGCTATAATCACACGTACCAGAAATAAAAGCAAGAGAGAATGTTTACAAACATCTTACCAGCACAAAAAATATACAACATCAGCAAGCAAAATTGAAATGAAATTTGCAATAAAAAGTGCATAAGATTTACAAACTGTACCTTCTAAGACACCACATTCTGTTAAACATTGTGTATACAGCAAAATATGTTTAGGAACAAACATCCCACAGCATAGCTTAGTCTTTGTGTACCAGTACGTTATTTCAAAACAGTAAATAGTATTAACGTCACTAGAATAGTACAGAAGAATTCTTTTAAGTAACTCTAAACTAACAATGGACATTTCCCATTTCCAAATATGATTGAATTATGGTAATGATCAGTATCTGCCTCTTCACTTAATTTTTCATGTTCACATCATAATTCATTTTAAAGAAATGATTGGCATATTGTGGAAACATTCTATTTTCTATTACAGCTTCATTAAAATCTAACTAAAAAGGAGATTTGAAACTTGTGATATGACGGTATACATTTTCCTTTCCGTATCTCTGTTATTCCATTCTTGTTGCTATTTTTTTTAAATATTTTCCTAATCTAACTTCTGATGATACTCTTTAAAAAGGGGTAGGTAATAACAATATCATTCAAAACAGTTGCAGATTCGCAAACGAGCCAACAGTTTCATTACCACAGATGCCAGAGTGTTGCATATTCATAATTTACACGCCCTTTCCAATATCGACGCAAATGTTTTTTAACATTTAAAATCGTACACATTCAATTATTGTGTACAACGGTACTACAGGCAATGTGAAACACTGTTTGGGTCAGGACATTATAATTGCATAGCATGTGTGCTAAACTCCATTTACAGACGTAATCCAGTACTTGCATATTACATCACAATTCTGCATTTTCACATTTATTTGCATAAATACTAGGAAACTAAAGAAGGTAAATGATTGTGATTTGTTAGGATCTTATCAGTTTAGACCAGGGATGGGCAATTCGTCGACACGTGACATAGCGTGGCACGGCGGAGTTCTAACAGTGTCATTCGAAGACTTCTTGAAAAATTAAAAGATTTGAAAAAATAATAATATCGTGTGTATCAACTCAGTCGAACCCCATATTCCAAAAATTGGTGGGAAGCCATTTCGACCATTCTCATCTTCGTACCACTTTAATTAGCCGAGATATTAATTAAAAACTCTTAAAACGCTAATTTTTGCTGTCATTTTTCCGAGTGGCAACAGTCTCACACGCTAGAGACATAAATCTGCTTTATTTCGAAAAGTGTTGCCACCTCCTCGCTTTGAAAACGTAGAGTTTCATAATAAAACATTTCTAAGTTTTACAAAATATGAAATAAAAATTGCATTGCCAAACATTAAATATATTATTCCGGATTCCAAAAATTCGTAGGAAGCCATTTCGACCATTTTCCCCTTTATACGATTTCAATCAGCCGAAGTATTAATTAAAAATCTCTGAAAACACTAGTTTTCGCGCTCATTTTTACGAGTGGCAACAGTCTGGCGCGCTGGACATAAAAATCTGCTTTATTTCACTACTAAAGAACATATAGTGAATTAGAGTTTCAGAAAGCAGTGCTTCCTTTTACTCTGCATCTGGTGGAGATTTGGCCGAAAAAATTCTGTAAAGCCCTCTACATGTAATAGGTATATATGTAATTTAAATATCGCTGATTTTAAAGCAAATAACGTTAAACGTCAAGAGAATGAATTGCAGCATTTTTAAATAAACATAATACTGATAGAATGCTTATTAATGAAACTCATTTACGCTGCTGTTATCGTTGTAAAATTGCTGGACATAAATTATGTCACAACGACCGTCTACATAAGAGAGGAGGAGGTACCCTCATGATGCTTAAAAATCAACTAAAATATCTTAAATCAACTTTATATGAGACGTCTAGAAACATGTGCATGGAGCACACCGCGGTTATCATTTATTGCAGAACTGGTGGTCCTTATTTATTTATCTTCGCTTATAATCCTCCAGGAAGCCAAATTACCGACAGAAACCTGAACTGCTTAACTAACACAAATCTTCCGTTACTTATTGCTACAGATCTAAATTCTAAGCATCCGTTTTGGAATTCACATAGAACCAACAATAATGGCCCCGTCCTCGATAATTATGCTCTTCACATTAATCTTAAATTACTCGGACCGAAAACTCCTGCAAGATTTCACTACACAGGCTCTTCAGAAATTTTTGACAGTGTTACTGCTAAAAATATTATTCAAACCCCTTACCCTGAAGTCCTACTGGAAATGTCACGGGATGACTTACCCGTTCAATTCATCCTAAATGGCTTTGAACAAAATTTCAAACGTATTGTTAACTGGGAGAAATTTAATACTATTATTGAAATCCCGTATGCTCACCCTAATCTTGCTAACATTTCTGATATCGAAAATGAAATCCATAAAATCAACTTCGGAACTCAAAGTGCTCTATGAGAACGAGAAGCTACTACATTCTCTTCCAGATTATATTCGAGGAAAAAATTAGAGATAAGAATTGACTGGCAAAACGATGGAGAAATACTGGAGACTCCAGATTAAAAAAAGACTCCTTAATCAAAAAGTTCGAGAAATCTCTAAATTACTCAGTGATTATAGATAAAGGAAATGGGAATAACTCCTAGATAGCATGGAGTATGAACCTACCCTTATTTGGAAAATTGCAGAGCTCTTCAAAAACGATTTGCGGATCGCATCGGGCCTCTCAATACTCCCAATGGACTGGTTTATTTTGAACAGGAAATGGCAGAAGTTTAGTAAAACACCTTGAAACACCTGTACTCCTAATCCCAGATTCGATTCGATCCTGAAACTGAACAACAAGTTCAAGAATTCAACGAGAATTTAATTTATGACACGGGCGTAAATTATTTATTACCTAAGAAAGAACATCTCAATTAAGAATCTCAAGATTAGAAAAGCACACAGATACCACTCAATCTCCAATAAATCTATCAGAGAACTTCCTTGGTGTTCCATCGTATTATTAACAAATCACTTTAATGCCTGCCTTCGTTTAAATTATTTCCCACATCAATGGAAGTATGCTATAGTCATAAACTTCCTCAAACCAGGTCCAAAAGAAACGACCAGTTACCGCCCAATAAGCCTGCTTTCCTGCATTGGTAAAATTTTCGAAAAAATGATTCAAATTCGACTAATTGATCACCTAGAAAAGAATATCATCGACTCCGAACAATATGGATTTCGCCGAGGACATAGTACCACACATCAGCTCATTAATGTTACTGAATTTATTGCTAACGTTTTTATTAAGAAAAATGCTGTTACTGCACGTTTTTTAGACATAATAAAGGTATTCGATAGAGTGTGGTACGCCAGCCCTCTTTTCAAAATGCAAAAAGCACTTCTCCCTATCAACCTTATGAAATTAATATAATCCTATTTAAAATGATCGTACATTTGAAGTTCGAATTGGAAAATCTCTCTCCAATAGAAAGATCATTAAAAGTGGAATCCCTCAAGGAAGCATTTTAGCGCTGATCCTCTTTAACATCTTCATAAATGACATGCCGCAGAAATTAAATGCAAAAATTGGTAAATATGCTGATGATACTATCGTTCTTACGAAGTCTTCAAAACCGAAACTCGTTATTGACAAACTGAAGATCGCAGTTAACATCAGTGATCATTGGTTCAAGATCTGGAGAATTAAATCAAATCCAAACAAGTGTAACGACATTATTTTTAGAAGATATAAAAAGAATACTCCTGTAGACATTGAGATTCAAATTAATAATCTGAAACTACCAGTTAACAGCCCCATTATATAACTAGGTGTGCTCTTTGACGAATAACTATTGTTTAAAGAACAAACTATGAATTCATTACGAAACGTTAACGCAGGGAGTCATATATCTTTATCCTCTCCTATAAAGAAACTCGAAATTTCACATAAGAACAAAACATATGCTATATCTTACTATGATTCGACTCATTTTACTATACGGTATTCCTGCCTTAAGCACTGTTGCTAAAACCTATCGTAAAAAATTAGAAGTTTTTCAAAATAAATTACTAAGAATGATTTTAAGCGCCCCGTGGTATGTTCAGAACAAGTGAATACTTAAAGAAATAAAGATCGACTTCATACTTGAAATACATTCTACTTGCCATAACCTTTCCCAGAAAATGCAAAATTCAGAATACTACCATGTAAGAGAACTTTTAAACTATGGCCCAGTTACTGAATATACTGTCAAAAGGCCAAGAACGATTCATCACAATCCAAAATTGTAAATTTTCGATCGTTTCTCAAGCTTAGATCTTGAAATTCAAGCTCATTTTCAAGCATCATTGCCGTAGTCAGCACCTGGGTGGGTAACCACCCACTTGTCTGACAAGGACTAATCTTCATTCTTCTGTGTTTGCATTTGTTTACAACCTGACAGAGTAGGGTGTGGGCTCTGATTCCTATATTTTTTACAAAGCAGAGACTTTGTTCTTCATGTATTCATTTATTATCATCATTTTCAAATGTGCTTTTAAATTTTATGCGTTCTATCATCCAATAAAGAGGGTTATAGACTTTGCAACACCTGACTAAGCAGGTTTTGAACTTAGTAATTTGTATTGTGTATTTTCATCTTCAAATCATTATAGTTCTAAGTGTAAAATAACAGCATACTCCCAATATTACAAGAAATATGTGTTCTCCAACTGGAAACTATATTTTACATAACTATATATTACCATTTTTACATAGAATATAAAAGTTTTTCCTTGGCCGCAGCCTGCTCATCTGGCGGGCTTGCTGGCTAGTTTAGAATTGAATGTTTCAAATTATTCCTTTTTATTTTATACATAACCTAACTGACTGAACTTTTGAAAGTGTTTATTAACAATAAAACCTAGTTTGTACGCTTGTTTTGTTTATTATATAATTTTTTAAATATCAATTACTCAGACGCACACAAAAAAAATGCGCTATTTGCGCAAAAATACAATAACCAGCCTACTAATAACACTTTTTTCACCTTTTTATGTATTTTACCATGTTAGAAAAGATGGAAGTAGCACGCATAACGATTTTTTTCCCATAGTTGCACTCTTCCCCAAAAGATTGGCCACCCCTGGCTTAGACAAAAAGTTCAAAGGAAGGGGGGATTATACTCTTCTGATTAAAAAATATATTCATTATTTCTTCGTACTAATAATAAAATAGAAAAGTAATAAACTTTCCCGTGGCGAACATCTCGCTAAGATGATGATTTCTAAAATTGCTCAGTGCTTAAGATAGCATACATAAACATAAGTATTAAATATTACTAAGACGATCACCGTCCCTAAAATCATTAGGAACAATTATCGGCAGTCTTAAAAAGCTTTCGTTTTGCATTCCTTCCTCCTGGCATACATACAGTTTGAAATTTCCATTAGCGACTACTAATGCAACAATGTATTGTTTGTTTTCGATGTGTGTCCGCTAACTGAGAGTGCACTGTTCTCTTATTTTGAGGATTCAGGAATTGAGACACTGCCATCTAGAGAATATTAAACCAAAGCGGAATGCATGTTTACAGACTGAGGTATGGTTATATATCTATACAGGTTTTTGGATTTATTTATATATGACATCAAAGTGTACTTAAGATGCAGTTATTTTTCACCTAGGAAAATGTAATTTTCACTTATTTCACCTAGAAAATGTAAGTTCCACTTAGAATTACAAGACCTTAAAGGTCGATGTGACCAGTTTAATTATAAAGAATGTTTCGATGAACTCTGGGTGTAGCCAATAGCAGACTGAATGATAATTCAGCAGATCTTGATTATCATTCTAATTCTGCCTGATTCATTGATTCCATGTATTAGTATTATGTATCAACAATACGCTAAATGAATAAACGCAAACAAATTTATGTACTTTACTATGATTCATTACTATCAATAGTTAGACTATCTTCAGAAGAGCTTCAGACTTATCTACTTTAGCTTCAGAAAATACATATAACCTTATTCACAAAAGCATGAGAGAATTACAAATTCATATGAGCCACTCATTTATGATAAAATAACGATTTATTCTTTATTTCATATAATTTGACAAATTTTGCCTATATATATAATACAAAATGAACAATTTCTCATCAATCAATAGCCTTGAAACAATTAAGTACACAATAACTACGTATTATACATATCTTTCAATGTTGTTTTAGCAGATCAAGTACAGCTAACACTATTATGTGCCACATTTACATGTACAAAATATATTTCTCTTACAATCTATAATATTAACATTTTCTGTGTATATCAGATAAATGGCACAATATTGAAAATATAAAACTTTCAAACAGTTAATTCTATCTGCATTTTCTATATCCTTACAAATTAAATATGAATTTATATGCAATAACCTTGGGAAAAGTGTTAGAAAAATTTTAACTTTAAATTAATTCTTCTTAACATTAGAAATAATTTATTTTGCTGTTTACTAATAGTTTGCATGTAATAGCATTGGAAGATACACTTTCTCTTCTGTAATTTCAGCAACATATGCTGCAGCAGCATAATTCCGGAAGACAATATTTATACGTAAAAAAAAGTAAGCTTCTCTAAAATTCATACAAAATGATCAGAAGTGTTATATATACACTGACAGAAACTCATTAAAATATTTTTTAACATATAATCAAAGGAATTTCAATACAAAAGTATAAAAATGCAAAATAAATTAAGAATACATCTTTGCTATGATTACCTTTTTAAATCTTTATTTTGATATAAAATGGAATTATTAAAAGATTGCACAATAACTGGATCTTAAATTGTCAAAAAATTCGAATTTTTCAAAGCAGATATCCACATTTATATAATAGCATCATAATTTTAATATGAATTTTCATCGTTATGCAAATTTACTTGACAGTTAAATGATGTCAGAAAAAAAAAAATAAAATGGCTATTTTACTTTAAAAACAAGACTTCTAATTCTATCGCATTTCAATAGCATTTTGAACTCGACCATGAGATCTCTTTAAAATTGCTGACCTTTCTAACAAAATAATAAAATATTTCTGATAGGTAACATTTCAGATATCATCATTATCAAGCAATTTTGTAATCTTAATAAAGTTTAAATGTTACATTTAATGCATAATTATATTAGACTTTTAAGGAATAGTATTATAACTAATGCAGCATTTCCTACATGCAAGAATTTTAAGCAGCTCTGAAAAACCACACACTAGATGAAATTAAAGGGACAAAAGCTAATACCTTCGTTTAATAAAATATTAGTTATTTATTCGGAGTAAGCCTTTTTTTATCTTTCATGAATACACAGACATATGATGATAAAGTTTAAATAATTTTATCTCAAACTTTAAACTACAGAAGTGAAAATTCGCTAAAAATGTATGATACTTCAAAAGAATGTAATAAACAGAGATCCTTCATAGCATTTTATGAATTAAAAGAAAATAAAATGATATATGATTAAAATAGATAGGTTAAAAGGATTAAAATAGGAAAAAAAAACATAAAAAAAAAGGAGCATAATACATTTACAACTTAAATAGGTCGTTTAGTAAAAAACATACAATCAAGCACAAAATTTTCTTTGCAGGTAAGATTGAAACAAACAGTAACCCTAGAAAGTGTTTCAATTTTGAAACATTTCTTGTATTTAAATTAGCATGGATTAATACTGAACTTTAAACCTATACTGCAACAGTTCTGTATATGGAAGACCATCTAAATCAATACTAAAGGCTTTGCATATTGCACACTACAATCGTATGAATTATTTTATAATGATTGTCCATCTATTTATATACAGAAACGAAAGTGTAAAGCATCAGATCTATTTTTTGTTGATAAAAATAATGCAAAAACAGTGTATTTGTACAAGTGCAAATTTTAAATATTCACTGACATAGTTAACACAAAATTCTATAGGCTAAACAAGGGACACATTTTTAGCACTTTTTACAACATATAAATGCATAGAATGAACCAAAAGTGCAGATTTATTTATATTATGTATGGTACATAATAGCAGAATGGAACTGGAATAGAAAGTTTCAGATCAATATCTCTCAATACAAAAGAAACTTCTTGTGTAACATAAATTCTTTCAGTTTTTTAAATCAGAGTTAGAACAGTTAAAAATCAAACTGTAATTTTTCTGTTGATAAAACTAACTAATTTTTACACATTTTCTTTATCGCACAACAAAATTATAAAGATGAAGCTTAAAAAAATAGCTGAAGCTTAATATATTACATATAAAATTATTATATGTAATGTATATAATACATGCCTTCAAATAAAAATTTTGATTATGTTACAAAGTTTAATCTTTACAGTTATAATGTTAAATTATAATATTTATTTTACATAAAGACTCCTACAACATTTTTAAATAGAACATTTCTTTGATCAACAATTTTTAAATGCTCTCTTTAAAATATGGTTTTTAAGTTAAATTTTTTAAACATTCAATAGTACTTCTTATATGAAACATCATTCTGTTTTACCCTTTCTTTTCATGCATTTTCTAATCATTAAAACCATTTTTGTAACAAACTTTTAAATAGAGATTTAGAAAGACCAGTTAATATTAATCATTTTAATAAAATTTGAAGGTACTGAACATAATAATATCAGGATGCAAGATAATTATTTAAATTTAACGTATGGAAATAATATCAGGATAGTTACTTTGAATCACAGAAGCGAATGCTTTTAACTCTAAACAGCGGAAAAACTTAGTTTAAAACAGCATAACAGAAATATCTTTTTATACTTCAATCCCAGGCGCAACTTTGCACTTATAATGCATACTGTAATTTTAATAACTGTAATTAATTTTAAATGAATTAAAATTGGACTCTTGTGATGCAGCTTAAAAATTGTAATTTTAATATCATACAATTAACATAAATTAAAATATTTAAATTCTTTAAAATATTCATTCTTTGTTGCAATATAAAAAATGCAACAATATAAGTTCCTGTCTGCTCTCTTACCTACTTCTTTCTCAAAGGGGGATATTTTTTCATGACAATTCTCATTTTCAATACTAGGATAATTTAAGGCCTTCTTTTGTATTTAACATCATCACTTCATTATTTACAATACTTTAATTTCTTTTTACAAAAGGTTAAAGTATTATAATTTTGCTTTGAGGTGACACTACTAACTACTCCACTGAACTTTTTTAAATGTTCATAATATTTTTATGGCATTTGCTGATGTATTAAAAAAACAATGTAAATATCTTCTGCTGAATAGAAAAGTATTTAAATATTTTTAAAATATATCATACTGTTTTAAAGTGATCTAAGTTGTTATTTATCTGAATGAGGCGTTTATTTTAAATCTTCAAAAATCTATAAACAAAATAAGACATAAAGACATACTGCATTGTGAATCAGAAATCATAATTTTCTAAGTTTTAAGTAAGTTAATTTTTAATTTAAGCTTATTTTTTTTCTTTTCAATACAAGTAGCAAACTCAGAAAATTACAATAGTTTTTTTATATCCACATTTCTGCTTATTCCTTTTCATAAGAGATTATTTTGCAAGATGCAGAAAATGTATCTTGCAAAATAATTGTAATAAATGAAATATTCAAGTGTACATAAGCATTCTACCAGATGGAAAAATATATAGGGATTATAATAATTTTCCCACATCTAGAAATTTATTTTAGCATTATTTTAACAAATTTGAGAAAAATTAATATGTTCTATGCAAATTTTGCTCATATTGTTGAACAAAAAATCTCAGTTTCCCAGAATTACAAAATGCTTTTGTGCTGATCTCCAATAAAAGATTTTTTTTTAATTTCTTCTTATAACTTTAATCTACCACATCTATTAATTTATTTCAATTTCTGAACTCCCATGACTTCAGAAGGATTTTACACTATCCTTATGCAAATCAATCAATATTTTGTTAAAGCAATGTAATTTTAATGCATTCAGTAAAACTCCAGGCCTCACTAAAAACTTTTTGTTTGAAAAAAATCCCTTGAAATTGATTTCAAAGCATTATTTCAAGAAGCAGTATAAGACAAATATTCTTAGTGTTATGAAGTAACAGCATAATAAATTTAAAAGTATTGTCACAATTAAATAAAATTGGCCAATTCTGAAAAACACTTGTTTCTTTACTCTTTTTTTTTTTCCCAGTAAAAGGAAGCAACAATTTTAAATTACCAATTAATATTTGCTTGCTTTTATCAAAGCATTAGATTATCATTAGAACCTTTAATAACAAGATCTCTACACAACAATTTCACATTTTTGTTGGATTTCATTTTAAATTCATTCCAATTCATTAAGCCATGAACATCAATATAAATAACAAAAATGCACAGCTAATTCAGGTGCCATATTTACATAAATATACAAACAGTTAATAAGTCCACTTATGTACATGAGGCACAGTTGGAAGATCACAAAGTTTCCTGAACTGAAACTTGTACAAGATTCTTGTACTCTAATTTGCAAAAGCAACTTTATTCTGCATTGTCCTTTGCAGTTAAATTAAACTTCAAATCCATGACCCAACTTCTTTCTCAACCACTTGAACTGCGTCTCCACGTCCCATTACCCTCAGTATATTAAGAAGATTTCCAAGGCTATTGGACTCTTGCTCCCTTGCTTCCCAGAGATCTAGGATGTGGTCTGTAGGACTACTCTTAGTAGCAAAATAATTGATGTATCTAAAAAGAAATATATATATATAAGTTACATACTTATGGTACACAGTGTGCTTTGTTAATGCAGCAATAAACTGAAAAGGATGATAATTGGCATCAAATGATACAAAAACTGCTATGGCATGCACATCTTTTTATGTACTGCCATCTCATGATCATCTTTTTTTTATATCTTTAAACATTGTTTGCAATGTGTACATGCATCTCTGCAAACAATGTTTAATCAATAGAAATTGTGAAAACACTTATCCATGCTCTAATACCAAGTGGTAATAAGAAAACTACAATAATAAGTACCAAAAATTGTTATTTGACATGTTTACAACACAGCCTGTGGTGCAGAATACAGTGCTGAAAAAATGATAAAAGAGGATAATGAGAAATTACTGCAAGAGTTGCTCAGAGTGGTAGCAATGAATGTTATTGTACAGCCCACAACAACAGAGGAAGTGCTGCTTAATGGGCTCAAAGATACCAGAGTGTGATGCTAATGTCTGCCACAGTTAGATCCTTTGGCATATTCCCAGGCATCTCATAAATGAATGATTTAAGATATCTTAAGAAGTCCAAACAACTGAGGTCCAGTGGGTGAGAAGACCATGCAATGCGTTTAGCATATCCAGTTCACCTCCTAGGTTATGCAAGTACTTTTGCAATTTTGAGCAACTAAATTTGGTTTCTGATAGTTTTCATGGCATTTATTTGTTTTTCTTGATGCCTAAAATAAGCTTTTTTAATACTTTTGAGCCAGTCACTTCAACAGAATATCCTTCATTATTCTATGAACAGAATATCCTGCATATTCTATGAAAAAGTAATAGTGCAAATGTAATAATTATTCAACTATCCCCCCTAACAGCAGATCCACGCTTTTTAAGAGTACAGACCTGTGGAAGGATGGAATATACATTATTTCAATACTACAAAATATACACGATACAATAAATTATATTATATAAATACTGCATATGTATACAGACATATACAGTACAAAGTCCGTAATCCGGACTCGTCGGGACTTCGGCGATTCCGGATTAGGGATTTTTCCAAATTATAGATCATCAATTTAAATCTGGTAACATGGCATGCAGAAATTATACAATTAAAAATATGAAAACGTAATTTATGAAATAAAGAGCAATTATGATCTAAAGGGTATCAAATCTTACAAAAAAAAGCTTAATATTTATTTGTTTGCTTTATTAAACACTTCTTTCAACGCACATGGGTAAAGCTTACATTACGCATAGTCGAAATTAGAAAATTGCAACCAGAAAACTATTTGATGTGTATTGGTGATATTTATAATGACGAGGAAATTGATTTAAATCATGTCAAAGACGAAGTACATCGAGACGAAATACTGAACTTAGTAAGGAGTTATAAGCCGAATAAAAAAAAAAATATCTGCCCTCAAGGATGAGGATAGTGCTGACAGATCAACTTCCGTTTATTGCGCTCTGCGACATCCCCCCCCCCCGGAGAGCAGCGTGAAATTGATAAACAGATTTCGGAATGGTTAGAGAAACAAATTATTAAGCCAAGCTGTCCTGATTACGAAAGTAATATCGTGCAAAGTAGAAAAGAATGTGGTTCATTTAGACTATGTTTGGACTTAAACGACACTTAAAACCTGGTGAATCCCTTTCCGAATATTTAATTGCCATGCGTGAAATAGCCAGTCACGTTTCTGTTGATTATTCATCAATTATTGATTATGCAGTCAATGGGATACCCGATCAGAGTAGTAACAAAATTATTTTGTATGGGTGTAAACTATTTCTGAATTCAAAGACAAATTTTATGAGAAAATCCGCGGTTCCAGATACGAAGAATAAGGGTTATTCAAGTACTAACACACAAAATAAAGCATGCGCTATACCTAATAAGAGTAACAAACCAAGGTGTTATAATGGTGGAAGTATAGGGCGTGTAATGTATGCGCATTCTTTATGCGCATGTGTAAAGCATACAAAAAAAGTTTGTGGCTTTGAGGTCCGGATTACAGATCATTCCGGATAATGGACGTCCGGACTACTGACATTGCACTGTATTACAAATACACAGGCTTATGTAATGAAATTCATGGACACTCAATCAAGAGTAAAGTTTACGGTTCCGATTTGATTTGATCCATATGACCGAAACAAGTTAAATGTTTCTATCTCTCTTATAAAATTTAAATGAATGCAGGCGTGTGTTCTCACAGATGAAATAGGGATTTTTTTAATTCTCTGTCTATTTTATCAACAAAAGCTAATCTTTAATAACAATTATTACATGCATGAAAATATAAAATTTAATTGATCTGCGAATATTATTAGAAATATGGATTAAAAGAAAATTTATTGAGCTTCATCTCTATATTGTAAAATGCAAATATAAAACACAATGAATTCTTTAAAAAAAAAGTAAAAAATATATCTGAAAAAGCATCACCTGTTTACACCTAATTCTTCTGCCAACCTTCGCCAGTCATTTCCTCGACTGTTTGGAGGATCAAGGCAAATGCATAACTGTTTTCTAACATCTGGTGTTAGCCTAAACATAAGAGGAAAATTAAGTTAAAAGTCTAATTCCAGAATAGATATATAAACAGAATAGCATCATATTGGAAGAAATATCTTTGAAATTTATTAATACCGAAAAGTGTCATTTTCTTCTGTCATTCAGCAGAGAAAACTGAAACTGAATAAAAGAAAAATAAACTAAAGGTTTCATGTATTTTGGCTGTATGGTGATTCTGGGTTTTTTTTTTTTTTTTTTTTTTTTTTTTTTCTTTCTTTCCATTATTTAAATGTAATTTTCTTGAACAAAAGAAGTTACTTTGCAATGTTGTATGCTAGTCATGCAGTATATGTAAGATATGCAAGATCCTTAATTTATTTTACAAATATTAACAATGTATTGCCTGTCAGGACACATTATGTTTGTTATACAGAATGATTATAATTAAAGTTGCGATTTCAAAACGCTCAACTTTAAAACTACTTGTCAAAATGACTTGATATTTTACTAGAACAATCGTGAGGCAATGTAATTTCGTTTGGAGAAGGAAAAAAATAGTTTTAAAATATACTGATAGATAGCGCTGTCAGGGTTCACACTGCTGTTGGTACGCAAATTACTAAGGCATAGCATGTGTACTGCAGACATGGCTAAGATAAAATGCAGAGCATTAAGACACACATAACATTTTGCCTGAGTGATTCATCATGATTCTGACAAAGAAGGATCGTGCTCTTCTCGTGAAGCTTTACTATCAGAATGGTGGATGTGCGTTAACAACTAGCAGGAAGTTCCAGACATTAAAAGTATAAAATCCAGCCCAATGATCACATATGGCCTCAGAAAAATGATAGATAAATTTAATCCTGCTGACCTGGAAACGTGAATTGTTAACATTCTGTGATCTGACGAAAATTATTTCCATTTACAAGGTTATGTAAATACACAAAATTGCAGGAACTGGGCGACCAAAAATCCGTTCCTGCTACAGGCATTACCTCTCTACAACCATTACCGCGGAATAACGGCAGCGTTTGTCAGCAGTCCGTTTTTCTTCGGGGAGATTACACATGCGGGGTCCCGTTACCTGCGCAGTTACTGGCAAGCGGTATGCAGTATTTTTGCATAACCATGTTCTTTCGGCACATCAGCAACACCAGCGTGGGGATTGCACTATATTCATGCTAGATGGTGCTCCTACAAACATTTCTGCTCGTGTGAAGCTGCTGCTGATTGTTCATTTCGGAGATGATAGAATCACAAGCCGCCATTTTCCAACAGCGTGGCCGCCAAGCTCTGCCGACTTAAACCTGTGTGACTTTTAGCTTTGGGATTACCTGAAAACTGTTGTTTACAGTAGGGGAAGTGCGAATCTGGCCGACAGCATCACGCACCACATTCATAGCATCAGTACAGATACCCTCCAATCTGTTGTGGAACATGCAGTTTTACGCTTCCAATTAGCACCAGAACAAGGAGGAGAGCATATCGATCAACTTATGTATTGATCATTCGTGAGGTGTTTGTTTCTTGAAATTACTCTGTTAATACATATTCTTGTCTTTTCGCTAATAAAATTGTCGTAAACCCTTGCAGTGTATTGTTTCCTTTTGGCTATACATACATAACAACAATGTAAACAATGACATCGCCATCTGTTGACAAATTGTGGAACTATATTTTCCCTCGCCTTACAAAATTCCATTACCTCAGGATTGTTCTGGTAAAATATTCATTCTGACCTGTAGATTTTAAGTTAGAGCGTTTTGAAATTGCAACTTTAATCACCCTGTATTTTGATATTTGTCAGTAGTAAGTTATTAATAAAGTATTTGGCTGCTTGAACTCTAGTTTTTATGCAATAGTTTCATTATTATTTGCAAATAGGTTGTTGAGCTCTTGAAAAAATATTACTTTACAAATATTCATGCATGAAATTAATAAGCTCATAAATTCCTTAAATTAAGACATCTTTAATGACATATTTTATGTATGTAAGAGAATTTTCCTCTAACTTTGCTACCCACATATACTCACTTATATTACAAATACTGCAAAGTAGTATTCTTAACAGTAAAATTCTAAAGCGGACTTCGATTCAGATGTATACTTATATTTCTTTAATTAAATTATAAGAACTGGTTAGTTTTATTAGATTAATAACAGTCTTTTAAAACAAAATTTTTAAAAAAGGTGAAACATTGGTCTCTAGCAGATTTCTGTTTAAAAAATGTTACCTTAGAAATCAGAGCTTTTGTCGTTCCTATTTGAATTAAGACATCATCCTCATATTATGATGTTTAATAGGCTTTATAGTAAAAAAGTGTTCAATTATGATTTTCTTTCATCAGTTCACAAATTTTAGAATTCAGAAATATAATTTTAACACCTTACAAGTAAGACACAATAACATGCCGAATAAATACTAATTCAGAAGACAAACAACAAAAATCAGCGTTATATTTACAAAATTTCCACAGGACTAGTTTCGATGGTTTTACCGAACCACCATCCTCAGCTGCAAAACCACAAATGACCTTACAAGTGTTACCACCTTATTGCAATGCACCTTACAAGTGTTAAAATAAAATGTGAAAAATCTGACTGCAAGAAATTTTTTCAAACCATTTATTTTGAACCAATCAAAAGCAACTGATAAAAAAGAGTAAATCTCAGAAAGCTTAACCTCATACTTCTAGTATTATAAAAGGCATTCATGGCACACACATCTTACAAGATTTCAACTTACCTGAACACATTTTCTGTAGGATCTACAGCAAGTATTGGTCCTGAACTCTCTGTAATAATTGATGAAGAAATTGATGATGCAGTTATGCTTTGGGCTGGAGAGGGTAATTTCTGTAATGAGATAATTTCGTATATTAAAAATAAATAGATTTTATTTTAAGAATGTGTTATATTTGTAAAACTCACTGTCAGCAAAAATACTTTGTATGAAATACCAATTTGCTAAGATATGAAGGCTAAAGATGACGAAAGCCAACAAGAAATCACACATTATCCCCCCATAACTTTTTTGAAAGTATTACAAATTTTATTTTAAGCTTAGTAATTCTATTATGATATGCCTGAACTGTTATGTTGGAAGAAAACAAATATATTGAAGATATATCTATGGCCCTGATTCCTAATATTAAAGAACACAGCACACACTATAAAATACATTTAAAAACTATTATATCCTTGCGGCCTACATACTTCATAACTGATATATTACATTTACCTTTAACAGCAGTGTTCACACGGGCTTCAGAGTTTAGATACATTTATTGCTCAATTGGATAGATAAACAAGGTTTATTACTATACCAAGATATATTTCTGCTGCCCAAGAATTAGCTGTAACTAAGCTTTATTCATCTCTAATAGTGCTTGCTATTGATCTAATTAACAGTACCCTTGCAAGTGGAGTTATCTGGTAGGAAACTACTTTCTGCAGGTCTCTTTGATGAGCACTTACAGTTCTATTATTATTTTAGAGCTTGACATTGACACTGTAATTCAAATTAAGGCATACTTCAGCATTTGATCATAGTGCACTATTATTTAACATGACTGGATATTTTGATTTTTTCATTGTGCTTAGCATATCACTTTGCTTCATAATGGAACTTAGCAGCAAACAAGAATTTTCTCAGGAGGAGATTTAACGTATATGACATCAGCCATGCTGAAAATTTAATTTTACTAGCGTATTTTTGTTTATGGTCAATTCTAATAATTGCTTTTTTATACCAAAATCAAAAGACTATTCCCAGTTCTCTGAAATATCAAGTTTATGTCTGTGATGAATATGGAAAATTTCATTACTTATTAAAAGTGTTCTAGTACCTTTTATCAAGTAAACTATTTTACAAATATGGTTGAAAATAAAATAAATAAAATAAATTGATTATTTCAAGAAAATAAATTAATATAATTATTTCAAATTTGCTCACCTCTCTATAATCTGTACTAATTCTAAGCACTTGTCTATTGGCTTGAGCACCACGTTGATAAACAAGTATGTGGCAGCTTACAGCTTGCAAGGAACGATCCAAGTGCTCTAACTTGAAAGAACAGTGAAGGTGATTTTGGCGACCATTCCATAAATGATGGAAGGGTATTTCCTGAAAATAATTTTCTAAATTAGCTATGTAATCTAAATTACCAAACAAAGTGAAAAGTGTCTCTTGTACAATATAAGTAAAAATTTATTAATGGGTGATACCAAAATATGCAAATTGAGATATCAAAATAAAAACTAGAGAAACTAATGCTTAAATTCAATTTAAATTTTATTTATTTAAACAATACATTAATATATACTTGCTTTGGAAGAAATATTTTTTTTAACAAACAGAACTTTTCACTAAAGTTCTGTTTGTTAAAAAAATATTAGTCATTAATAATATAAAGTCATTTTAATATAACACATATAACTGGATCTTAAAAATACCGTTTCATTTGAAAAAGTGTATTTAACTTTGAGAACTCTAAAGCCATAAACCTGAAAATTTTTTCAATGGTATATATACAAAAATTCATAGAAAATAACAAACTTTTTGTTTAGGAAGATGCCCATGTTTGTAAGCCACTAAAAGAATGAAAGAAATGGAGAGGAAAACAGCTAACAGCATATATTCTTGTAGAATTAAATTTTTGTCATTGTTCAAGCTACATTAGTAAAGATTACAGTAACAATTCTGTCACATGCATCTCTAAATATTAGTAGAATAGATCTATTTTGGATTCTTAATAACTTTGCAAATAACTTTAATTTTTTATTTCCTGTAGTATTTGTTCCAATAATGAATTCTGAAACTAATTTTTCTTTACACAATCATTTGATTCAGCACAAACAAACAACTAAGATAAAAAGCTAAAATTTTAAGCAATATTAAAATTTTCAGAATGGGTTAAAAAATCAAATGTAAATTATTATCCTTTGTAAATTATTATTTATTTAAAAGGAAATCAGATGGATTGAGATAGTTTCCGATTCTTCGACAAAAATTTTATTTTTTTAATAATTGAAAGGGAAATAGGGTTATTTAATTAACTTGCAGAACTTATGTTCATTCCAGTAGAAAATGCATAACTTCTTGGAACTGCATAAGAATAATAGGTAGTTAACTATTTGTGTCAAAATATATGTTAAAGTTGTTCTTTTAATAGCCATGGAGAAGGGCAAGCCATATGACCTCTGATGCAGCTAAGCCTTCTAAAAGAAATCTGAAGAAAAAGAAATCTACTTGCTAAGATGCAATAGAAAAAACTACTTCTGGTTCAACAAAAGCAACAGCATATATTTAAAAATGAAGCAGGTTTTTTGGAACATATTTTAGAAAATATATATCTGATTCAAAAATTACCTTAAAACGGAAACTGAAATGAATTGAGAAACTGGATGATGTAGGTTTGCTGATTTTATATTCAAAGAGAAAATCTCAATAAAATAAATTTAAGAATTTACCCAAAAAATAACTTTTTCAAAAAAAAAAAAAAAAAAAAAAAAAAAAAAAGGAGGATATCTATAACTAAAATGATTACATTTTAAAATGCAGAAAATAAAAACTATAGATATTAAATATTTGCTTTACAAAATCATGCTTTTGTCACTTGTGAGTTCATTTATTTAGATTATTTAACTAATACATTCCGGTTAATTTGCTCTTTTTCTTCTGTGTTTTTAGATAACTGTGTTTGAAAAATGAATTAAGCTCTTTCATTTCCTATTCGTATTTAGTTTTAATATTTCTTGTTCACATTATAACTATTGCAAAAGAAGATCTCAAGTTAAAGATAAATAATTTTTTTACAAGTAGGAAAACTAGTTTTTGAGAGTTTTCCTTGAGCAGGAAAACAATTATTATGGAATTTCTTTCAGCAGGTCCCTATGGTATTGTTAAGTATATATATTTGATAACTTCAAATTGTAATTCTCATTGAGAGTAAATTACTGTACAGTTAAATTGCAAATTACTGCAAAGTCAAAATACATTTTAATATAAGATTTAAAACTTACTTGATAATTGGCTAATGGCTTGCATTTCCACCCAGGAGATATGTCTTCTAAGCAAAGGCACAGATTGGAACCACCATCTTGTAACAACATGGATTTAGGTGCATCAAGTAAAGATCCGTGTAGTTTTTCTTCTACTTGCATCATACCCTGTAAAATAAAATGCTATGCATTAAATCTTCTACACTCTCTCTCTTCTTAACTCTCAATAAAACGTCAATAATGGTCTGATTACTTTTGCTTTTATATACTTTTATTTAAATACGTAAAAATACTACATTTATTTCTTTTTATTGAAAAGTTAGAAAACCATAGAAGCAGATAGCAACTCCTATCACTGTGCATTTAACATTAAGTGGTATCCAAAAGTGAATTCAAAGAGAAACATTTAAGTTTTAAGATTCAAATTTGAAAGAAAAAAAAAATTGGCAGATATTTTTAGTTCTGTCACTGCCACAGGTTTTCAATAGAAATAAATAGACAAATTCTCTCATTGAAAAGGCTATCTGACATAAATCTATATTCTTCAGAGTAAAGCATTTTTTCTCATGCTCTTGAAAAACAGGAGTCTACATCAGACACCCATCAAATTAGAAAGTTAATTCAAAATCTGTGCCAGTCATAAGTTGCTTTTTTGCCTAATTTTAAATAGAGTTCTAAATAATTTGTTATGAAAGTTTTTCTTTACTTTCCAAAATACTGGAAGCAAATATAAAGCCCCCCAGTAACTTTCATTTCCTAAGATCAGTCATCTTCAGGCCTTTTCTATTCCATTCATCTCTTCTTATATGCATAATTATACCATTTTCCATAAAAGCTATTGGCTCAAACATTTCGAATAACGTATAAAATCTAAAATACTGTATTTTGATATACTATAAAGGTGCATATAAACAAAACCAATTTTCAGAATTGGAGGCCTAACAAAACCCTTCCTGTTTACTTCCACGCCTTTCTATTTAATTTGCACTTTTTCATTCCCTGCGCTGGCAACACGCTTTGGATTAGTCTTCGATGAAATTCAGTCGCTAGAATGTAGCTGACCTGTAACTGTTCTAATATTTATTTTAAAATTTAACTGTATGATTGGATTATTACTTAATGTTTACATATGGATATTTGATCATTGTGTGTTAACAGATGGGTTTGAATACACCGAGAGTAGTTGAATTTATTAATGTTATTTCGAATCGAAACTACTCTTTCCATTTCTGCACCATTCTAATTAGGAACGCAAACACTTTCTCTAATTCTTTTTAGTGCAGTAATATTCTTTTCCTCTTCTAATCCTTTTCAAAATATGAAATATCATTCATGCAAATTATGCTAAGTATCTTGTGAAACAAATTCATATATTTCAATTTTTCTCATTTAAAGTTATATGAATTAAAAATACATTTCACTTTATTCTACTTTTTTTAATGGTTTTCTGTGTGACATAAAATATACACTGGTGTGCAAAAATTAAGGACGAGACGGTTTTTTCAATATAACTTTGTACAAAAGCTTTGCAAATCAACACATTTAATACCGTAAGATCCCCAATACGTAAGGACATGAGTAATGTAAGCAATACTTACTAAAAGGGAAATCAGAGGGACAAAAAGAAGCTTTATTGAAAAAGTAGCATGGAGCGCAATGTGACTGAAGGCCGAAACATCCCTGTGATGGGTGTCCATCAAGAAACATCCAGTCTTTAATAGGGGATATGATCTTCCCTGACTGCTAGGCAGGTTTCACAGCGTCTGCCCATGCTGAGAATGAGGGTGTCACTAAGTTGTTGAGGCACTGCTGCCCATTCGTCTTGCAGCGCCAATCGAAGCTCCGGAATCATTACTGGTGGTAAGGTACAAGCTGCCAAGCGTCTGCCTAGAAAATCCCATACATGCTCGATGGGATTGAGATCCGGAGATCGTGCCGGCCAATCCATACGTTCAATATCTCACTCTCTAACACCTGTTCGGCAGCTACTGTGCGATGACATGGTGCATTGTCATCCAAGAAAAGGAACTGTGGACCCATAGCGCCTCTAAAAAGACGCACATATGGAAGAAGAATCTCGTTACAATAATGCACATATGGAAGAAGAATCCCGTTGACTGAACCTGCGTCGAAGATGTGAAGGTCTGTACGACTACCAAGCATGATGCCTCCCCAAACGAGAACACCGCCACCTCCATACCTGTCCCTTTCAATGATGTTCGAGGGATGATTGCGGCTTCCCCGCTCTCTCCAGATGAGTATGCGATGAGAATCGCTACTCAGACTGAATCTGCTCTCATCTGTCAAGAGTACTCGTCCCCATTCATTGTCTCTCCAATTCCGTGTTCCGGGCACCACAGAGAACGCCTTCTCTGATGGGCAGGCGTTAGAGGTACACACCGTATAGGGCGCCGTGCAAACAGACCACCACCGTGCGGTCTTCTGGCCACGGTAAAACGCAATATCGGTCGTCCAGTCGCCTGCGTCGTGTGTCTAGCGATTTCTCCCGCTGTCTGCCGCCTGTTCTTCTGGCCTGTAAGGCAAGATACCGGTCATCTGCGGGTGTGGTTCCTCGTGGACGACCACTACTTAACCTCCGGATAGCTGTTCTGTAGTTTGATATTGTCTCCAAAGTCGTGAAACGATGCTGTGAGCAATTCCGAACTCTTCAGCCACACTTGTCACACTGCGGCCTTCCTCCAACTTCCCAATGATTCGACCTCAGGTAAAAGCATCCAGATGTCATCTAAGAGATTGATTATTCGCCATTTCTCGCTGAGGCAGCAACTCGGTGTGATTTTAACTGCTATACGGCATGCAATCTCTTTGCCAGAAATACTGATTTACACGACAACATGCTTTACTACTCAGACACTCCCCCATTACGTCTACCTGCATATCTGCGCATGTGCTACCGTACATCACCTTACTTAATCTCCTGATTGGTCTTTCTGTCCGCTCTGCCTCTTTGTTCAGCTGATATGCTAATTTTTCGACTTTGTCCTTAATTTTTGCACACCAGTGTATGTGTAGATATTAGGTTGAGGGGGGTCTTTTCTGTCTCTCTGAAATAAACAGAACTTATAGAATTCTCAGTAATTTTATAGGATAAATGTTAATTAGTTAAATTAAAAAGATGAGACCTAAATTTTCAGTTAAATTATTGATCAGTTTAATAATCAAGTATACAAGCAGACATAAATCTATATTCTTCAGAGATAATCAGAAGATACTCATAGTCACGTGATATCATGAACTTAAAATGTGATAGTTACACAATACTACAGATTGGCTGGGCAAGTTAGCATTAATTTAAAGATTGAGGATTCATTAAATAACATCAGTCGTCAATGACAGTACAAGACAACTGTCCAGCATCAGAATTTTGAAGAAAGGATGAAAAACTAAAAATACAAAATTTTAAATTTTGCTCCTGCTTCTAAATTTATGTTTTTAAAACCTAATATTATTTAAAATTTTACAAACATTTAATATCAAAGAAGGATTTCAAGAACACCTGAAAATGGAGGTACATGTCATTTGTTTTATGCCTTATATATAAAAAGGAAACATATTAAATTATTATATACAAAAAGAAAGCATATTACAATAAATGATTATATACAACTTATGTGTTGCCCAGATGGTATAGTGTTTAGGCGAGCCTGCAGCGGTACCAAAGGGCCCGTTGCTAATCTCGGAAAAGACATGGATACCTTGTAAATGTATAGTGTTGTGCAGCATGGGGGCACTTTAATAATACCCCCCACCGGGATACTCTTCTTCAAAATTGGGGTGGAAAATAGAAGTCCAGCCTCTCTCTGGAGTAGGCTCTGGCATCTATTCTTCTGTATAATATGGAAACAACGACAAAACAACATACAACTTAAGTATTTATAAACGTATGTATTATTAATGTGCTTCATTAATGTAAATTTTAAAATTATTTTGTCTATCAGTCTGAGGCTAAAGGAATTGTTCCTGTTATGTAACCATGCCTATAGCTGAGAAGTTCTACCTTTGATTATATAAGCCATAACTAGATCTTTGTTTTATGATTAAATAAAAGAAAGGTTTTTTTAATATAATAATAACATTAGGAATCTATTTTATAATATTTTTAATATAATAATAACTAAGCCGTAAATTTATATAATTTAAATGTAAGTATTTAATTTTATTTTCATAACAAGCATTCCAGATTCAACAAGCATTTTTGAAAGATTAAACTAGTACAGATTCTAAAATGATGATTAAACAGAGGGTAACTAATGAATGAAAAATAAGACTTTATGATATGAAAATTACAGTGGCGAACCAAGTTCTTTTTCATTTTTTTATTTATCCTTCACATTTATCTTTGTTTCGTATTTTGCATTTCATATACCCCTAAAAACTTTTTCTCTCAGCAGATAATTTTGTTAAATAATATTCCCTTTAATTTATTTTTACCATAGACTGTGTAGAATACTACTGCATATAAGATGACATGTAAGCCGATACTTTTTTTAATATTATATCAAACTACGAAATGTCTCTTGAACCACTTTTGAAAACGGAAATAATTTTGTTTCCATGTTTTAGTGCTCTGATCTTGCTTTCCTGTCTTAGTATCTTCTGCACTATCCAATACTTTTAAAATCTGATTTCTCAACATATACCACATTTATTAATCAGTGAAAACGAAAGGTGAGCTATATTTTTCAAAACATAACAAAATTTCTCTGGAAAAGAAATTAAAAAAAGAGAGAGAGAGAAAAGAAGAGGCTCATTTTTACTATGCCCAATTCTTTGTAAAAAGATAATTTGAAATACTGAGGCGCTTAGTTTGAACATTAAATGTATAAATAAACAAAATATTCTATACTCCATTATTACCTGAATTGCTGCTTTGGTGTCTTCAATGCAATACACACGTATTGTGTAGTCTGTGGAAGAATGAAACGCTGGTGCAAAAGCTGCAAGAGCTATAGACTTCACAGCTTTCTGGTTCGGAGTAGATTCTCCAACTAATGCAAACCTTCCTAACTGCTCTGTCATGAGATGGCAGTGATGGGGATCCACTTGGCAGAACAAAGGTGTAACAATTGTCTCCTGACCCACTGTCACAAGATTCTGAAAATAATGATAATAATTATAATTTTGTTAATCACACTCAACAGAAATTTCAAACAAATTACAGTAAAATTATATATCTTCCATATTATTATGAGAATAAAGCAAAGCCACAAACTAACTTAGCAATAGGATTTTTGTAGGTATTTTATTCATTTGTATGCAATTATAACATTTAGATTCTCAACATATATTTAATTAATTAATAGGTGAAAGACATGTGATCTATGCAATTCAAAATCAAATATAATTAATAGAGGAAGGTATAGGGAAAAGAACGGATGCAAGGATCACAAAAAAATATTGTTTTATTTAAATAAAGAGTAAGTTTCTTTTATTTTCGCCTCCCCCTCCCAGTTATGTTTACTGATAAAAAACAACAGTACCTCATCAACCATAAACTGCAAATTAATAATTAAAATAACTGCTAACTACACTCAACTGATTTTTAATTATACATAGCAATTAAATATAATGCGGTTATCAATTAGTGATAACAAAATATTTAGAAATATTATTATTTTTAATTACACATAATAATTAAAAAAATAGTAGATTAATGTTGTACATTATTTATTTTAAATATAAGACAGAGAGCACTTAAATTTAGGCTGCACTTTAAGAGGAATTAAGATAAACATTAACAGATAACAATGCAATTTGCTGTGCTTCTTATTTAAATCCAAACCTAGTATCTGACCTATAATAAATCTAGGAAAGCAACCTAAACTCATCAGAAACACAAATATGTGGGTGGCTTGTATCCTCTGGACAATTCTGCTGTGCTTTATATAAAGCGCAATTAAAAGATAAGAAATGCAAGTGGCCGATTTTTTTCGAATTATATTGATGTAGATATATGAAGTGCATGGAAACTTCATTATTGCTGTACACCCCTAAAATTCCTGGTTAGATTGTCAAAGAAGTTTTGCACTGAAATTGCTGAAAACAAAGGAAGAATATTCTGAAAATTCGCAGCTGTTTTCTTCATATAGTCATTGTGTTGGCTGACAACCTTTCTTTCAGAATTTATCCTTAAGTGGAAAGAGAAAGGATCCCACAAATTACATAAAACAGAGAAAGATGCAAATACTGTGACAGTCAAACGACAGCTGTTGGTAATAGATATAATGTGTCTCTTTATAGTAAATGTGTCAAAGATTTTCATCTAATTCAAAAGTAATTGGTTTTGACTGACGTTGCATTTTCGCAACGTTTTGTACCTTCAATAAAAATAAATATTATATTTTCCTGTTACATTTTTTTCTCTTAATTAGACTCTAATATGTCAAAAAAATTATTTTTGTTCATTTCTTTCAAGTGAAAGGTTATGCGATTGTTAATGGGTTAACATACATTTCATTATAAAATATTATCAAAGACAATAAAGGAATATATTTTAAGATAACTTAGTAAAGTTCAAAGCAAGATTTTAAAATGTTCAATAAGAACCAATCAAATCTTCAGCTAACCTTCCATTCGGGTGTTTCATCTTCTGCAGACGGAGTATCGCTACTAAAAATGCTTATGGTCCACTTCTCAGGACTATCAATAACTGCACAGTGAGGAAGACTAAGAATCAGTGGTTTGGAGAAACTTAGATCTGGTGGTCCACATTGCACAACTGGACTTAATACAGTTTCTTTATCTATGAGAGTTAATGAAATATAAAATGAAAAACATTAAATTTCAATACCATGTTACAGAATAATTAATTTATAATAAAACATAGCAGGTAATTATTATCTCTGCGAATGAACAAAATGAGTTACATTAAGAAATTAAAAATTTAAAAAAAAAAACCCTAATCTGTGCTAGGAAATAAAATTGTTCTTCTATTAAACAAACATTCAATTCCAAATTTCATTCATAAAAAGAAAATAAAAATTTTATAATTAAACTACTTTTAATCTATTAATGAAGTGAAAATAATTGATAAAGAATCTACTGTAATTCAATTTCCAGTTCACATTTTCGGTTTTCAATCATTGACACATGACTATAGCATTGATCTAGCATCGATTAAAGAATTTACTGTAATTAATTTCTACTTCTTCGTTTTCGTTTTTTGATCACCGACTCATGACTATATCATTCTACGGTAATTAATTTATACTTCTTCGTTTTCGGTTTTTGATCATTGACTCATGACTATATCATTATCTTGGGCCAACATTGTTTATAGAATCTACTGTAATTAATTTCAATTTCTGCGCTTTCGGTTTCTGATCATTGACTCATGACTATATTATATAAACAACCTTGTACCAAATTTAAACAACCTTCTTTTTTTTTTAATCTAAATTTTACATTCAGTTTTCCAGGAATTTGACGTTTTCCCTTCACAGACGTATAAAAAAAAATACAGTTAATTTTATATTAAAAATATTTTATATACTTTCCAACGTCGTGTACGTTTTTTATTGCGGACTCTTAATAATGGTCCCTGCGATTGCAACATTTAAAACGCTTCTTTAACCATGTTTTGTTTGACATCACTAACCGTTAACTGAAGTTCAATAATTAAATAACTGTTAACCATTTTCAGTTTTCCTAAATTAAAGCAATATCAGGGACTACTGTAACTGAATGATCAGTGTTTCATCTTGGTTAATGTTGTACTTTAGAGGATTTTTTGAAAAATAACTGCTATTTAATCCCATTACTGCATTGAATAAAATCATTAAGCAGATGTACTTACTTTTTGTGATATTTATAAATGACTTCATTAATGTTTTTACAGTTTTATAATCAAGTTGTATGACAAGTTTTACAACCAAATCCATTACAAATGATTTTAACATTTTAAATGAATAATATAACATAAAAAAAAGTGTTCCTTAATACTAGTAAAAAGCTTTGACTCCTACAAAGCAATAACATGCATAAATATCATTTTAGTGCATTTTGTTGAAATAAAATTAAAAAAAAAAAAAAAAATATTTCATCTCGTATTTACAAAGTTCTTTGCAGACGAAAAAATAAAGTATTTATTGTTTTACAGTAAATTGAAATTTCTCATTTTCTTTCGTTATGGTAAATTTTATACTACATAATGTGAATTACACATTATGCTAATTCCTTTCAATTTATAAGAAGGTGCAAAAGTTTTCTGTACATATTTTATTGTACAATGCACAATAATAACTTTAATTTCTTTAACAAATGTATGATTCTAGACGTACAACAGAGGTAACGTAAACTATATCATAAAGAATGATAGTAGAGCAATTAAACGCTGAGGAATAGCTAATTTTTATTTCATCTACTTATTTAGTATAGATATATGATTTACAAAAAGAATAATTTTTGCCATTACATACCTGATAAATTAGGCCTGTCTTTATCATCTCTTAAAACAGCCAAGTAAAGACTGACACTTCCTTTACGTATAGCTCCTCTTGGTATGGTCAATGAAATACCTAAAAAATATTTTAAATTTACTTTCCTTCGCTAAAAATATTCATATGCTGTCGTAAAAAAATAGTTTTGTATCATAGCAACAGATGGCAGCACTACCAATTACAAATTTAGTTGTACTGTACACTTTTTGCTTTTGTTAATAGAGGGCAGCACTTACCTGTATCTGGCAGAGTTATCCTTCCTCCAGCTTTTGTGACAGCAGCCCACACAGTCAAATCAGAATCAACATTTGGGGGCAAAGCCATTGATGCAGCAGAGTTATTACAAGAAGCTCCATATGCAGATCCTCTTCCACTTGAAACTGAAATGTAAAATCAAAGTACTGCTAATTTTACATAAATCTTAAAGCTACTAGAACAAATAAATACAATATTTCTCAGGTAATAAAATCATGGTTTTTAGTTAACACTCAGATTTAAGATCTTTACAAACCCCTCATGAGACCCCCGAATTGCCTTTTCTGAAAGTTTAAATATTTTATACAGCATAAAACCTTTATTTGATCTTCCAAATTGCAACAGATAATTACTTATCACTGCATCTGAATGGTTTCTATTCTGTAATAATTTTTAACATTATTTTTATTTATTTTTATTTTTATTTTTTTTAATTACAACAATACAGAGGCTGTTCTCACATTTTTTAGATGATTTTGCTTTGCTATCATCTGCTTCGAAATTTTTGTTTTAACTGCGACTATATATTTAAAAGTATAAATTATCGTCTGCTACTTAACACTTTTGTTTTCATGCAAAATGGCACTTTTGTGAGATTAATGTGTGTGTGAGATTGTGAGATTAATGAGACTTGTGTGAGGAAAGCTATGTTTCGGCTCTTATCGAAGAAAATTATTCGTATCTAGTTATTAAAAAACTCTGTGAAAGCCATGGTGTTTTAATATCTGAAGCTACGATAAGTAATATAAGTTTTGCTTCAAATGGAAAAATTGTTCCAAATACACATCGAAGAAAAAACGGAATATTTCGGATATTGTAAAAGTTAAATCTGTAATGTTAAAAGAAAATTTTCTAAGTCAAAGAAAGTTGCAAAATCATCAAAATGCTCCCTGTCAACTAAAAACAAAGTGATTAATGCTCATTTAAATCTTAAAAAACAATAAAAAAACATAATGTGCGTAGTCTTTCACCATGACATACCGTTGAACACAGCAAGCGCTGCAGAATTCTTAATGAGAAACATTTATCCGGACAAAAATGGAAAGGTGTTGTCACAATAGATGAATCTTCGGGGCATTTAAATGACTGCAGTTAAAAGACATCCATTTATTAGCGTCAAAGAGAAGAAAAGAATCTTAAAACATAGCTTAAAGAATCTGAAGAAAGTTTTTCAAAGGGATTTATGATTGCTGCTGGTTTTTCATGTAACGGCAAATTTAGTTAAAGGAAAGGTTTCAGATTTTAAATTATGTCCAAAGTTTTTTAACTTTTTGTGTGTTACCTTTATTTATTAAATATCATGCTCTTTGCACTTAAACCATAAAATTCAGTTCAGTAGCAATGTCGCAAAATAATTTTAAAATGAGCATACCTTTAGAATTTCCCATACACAGTTCCGCGCGCTGGAGATTAAAAAGGTCTTTTTTTCCTCGTAGAATGTTGCCATTGCTCGCTTTGAAATCGCTAAGTTTGTTACTCAAAAATTCGTTACAGTTTTACAAAATATGAAATCGATAATAAAACAAGCCCATATTCGCAGTAGGATTTCGTCATTCAAAATTCAATGGCTCTATGTACCGTTCTTTTATCACAATCAGAGAAATATACATACATTTATGTATATTTTTCATTATTTAATTTCTTCAAATATAATGCAGAACTCTAACATTTGGCAACAGTTTGAAAAGTGAAACAGGCATTTATAGTGATTCAACGCAAAATCGCAAAACGAAAACAATAGTCCTTCAGGGACTAAACCTCTTTGGACTAAAAAAAAAAAAAAAAAAAAAAAAAAAAAAAAAAAAAAAAAAAAAAAACATTAAAACAATATAATTTTGAATAGTTTACACAAATACTAACAACGAAGTATCTATAAACATCCATTAATAATTTATCTAACTGATTATTTTTCGTAAACATTTACACCGTAAAAATCTGTACTAAATTATATCTTATACACCTCATCTTCAAAATAATCGTTTGCTTAAATATACGTCCTGCATGAAGTGTTTTACAATGTGAACTTATAAAGCTCCTATCTCCATTCTTCAGTTAATATTTCATCTGAATGTAATATCAGAACCAAGGCATAGCCTACAGTAGAAAGAAAGCGAGACTTACCTGAAGAATTTAGTTCGGACATTGGAGATTCCGGTCTGGCTATTTTTTCAGTCGAATCGGGAGAGCCCTTTCTTAGATTTACCGCTATGAGCGGTTGAATGGTATCATCAGCTTCTTTTTCACTGTTGTTGTTAATGTACTTTGGTGGCGGAGGTAAGAGTGGGACTATGGCATTAGCTCCCAGCCCAGCCAAAGCACTCTTTTCGTTGTAGTCTTCTTTCCGTATGTGAAGAACATTTTGTGTCAGATCCGGCTGAACAACCACAACATCTACAGATAAAAAGAACATCATTTACAAGAGGCCATTTTTGGCTAGATTTACTATGTACATTATTTTAAGTTTAAATATCGGGTTTATGAATGATATAAATACAAACTCTCTCTGCCTTACTATATTTGGCAATCTGAGTTACAAATATTTTATCGCTTCCCCCCTCCCGTAAAAAAAAAATTGTAAAATAGTGAAATCATGGTAAAAAGCTTTATAAAAGGTCCTTCATGGTGTTCTAAATAATTCTTCATTCAAACTGTTAATGACTGTCACAACCTGAAGTGATGCAGCTGGTACATTTAACACAGTTCATTGTTTCGTTACAACAACGTTTACAACTTAAAATCATTACGACGGCTTTCCTGATGACACACTAATGTAAAAAAAAAAAAGTTTGTACATTCAAATAAAACACTCCTCGTGTTGTACGTATGTGGTGCACGGGGAGTCTGTATGTTTTCAAATTAAAAAAAAATAAATAAAACACACGATCCATTAGCAACAAGCGGGCATAGAAGAATATTTACCATAAAACCAAAAAAAGAAAAAGGAAAAAAAAATGAATAATATAGAATATACTTGCTCAAGCGTATAAAAGGATATTTAAGTCCCATTGTTTTATTTCAAACGATTATATCAAATTATTAGACTTAATAAAATTTATTTAGCATTTAAAATAAGCAACGATACTTTAGCTATCTTAGGAGACTTTTCTCGATAAAGAGAAACAACCAATTAGGAGAAAAACAAGCCAATGTAAAACTTAAAATGAGGTAAAAAAATCTTAGTTTGACGTTGATTTTGAATTAAACCCTATCATGAGACTTAGATTTTGAATAAAACTATATCTCTGTTCATTAGCATTGCTTCTAAAGAAGAAGGACATAAGTCTGATCGCGCTTGAAATCAAGAATTTTATTTCAAATGTACGTCAAAATTAGCAGCACTTTTTGGGGAAGATGTCAATTTTTTTAATAAAGAAACTACATATTCAATAAAAAGACAAAAATATCAGAGCAAAAGTCGTTAGACTATATACTCTTGCTCACTGAAATTCACTGTAAAATTCATTGTTTTTCTTTCTAGTAATTTCTTTCTCCTGATGAGGAGGGAACTGTAGCTGCCCTCGAAATCGATTGAGTGTTTTAATAAATGTACGCGAAATACAAGGTTGTTATTGCAATTTTGATTATCTCATTGGCATGCTTCTCTTATATTCTAGTTAAAACAGTATTTTTGAAGAAGTAAACTATGTCACTTTATACTCTCTTAAAAATAAAATTTATTTAAAGACAAGGTATCATTATTTTTTTCATTATATTAATCATAACATCTCCTTTATAATCAACTTAAATAAAAAATTTTCATCAAATAAACCCGGGCATCTTATTTACAAAAAAATGCAAAAATAAGATCTGAAATTTCTCAAATAGCCACAAATGCGAGTTTTAAGAAGAAAACTGATATCGGGACAATAATTTCAAAAGGGAAGAATCTTTGATTATAACGATATATCTAGAATTTGATTTTGTTTAGATGCATTTTATAAAGCAAATTACCTTCTACAAATTGATTGTTTTAATATTTCCAATTTACTTCAAATCTGAATCTCAGTTCAAGATTTAAATTTGAAAATTTTAATATCATACTATGAAAACATTAAGTTGGTACTAATTACATTCAGAAATTTCTGAAACACCACTTAGGATTATAAACATTTCTGATCTTCAGCGAAAGCGACTGCTTCAGAAAGCATGACTATTGATAATGTTGAAAGCAAGTATTTAATAATAATCTCAGAAATACTACCACTTTAAAAGATGGTCGCTATGAGAGGTTTCGCTTATTTTACTTTAAAATTCAAGCATTTTCCTCTTCAATAGTTTCAAAGTTTGAATGAGTACGATATAAATATATATTTAAGTCTATAATTCATTCGCATGTGTTCACTTATAAAAATAAAAAATATTAATTACATTTGCACCATTTTAATATATTTTGTTATTATTATTATAAAACTGTGTTATTACTTTATATTAAGTACTTTTTTAATGGAACACTATATATTTTATAATAAATACATCTCATCTTCTCTTGCATCTTTCTAATCATCCTGACAATTTCTCTACTCGGATATTTCTTGTGTTGAGATTTTTGTTAACAAATGGTTATGTATTGATTTTAGGAACAAAGCATGCTAAAATATTTGCGAAATACGCTATTTTTACACTTAACATTTGAAAACTAGAAATTGAGGTCGACGGCGTAGGTGATAAAGTTGTAATATTCTAATGATTCTAATCATAAAGTTGTAATATTCATTTCTTAGTACATAAAGAGAAAATTTTCTTTGTTCATTACAAAACAAATATATATTGAAACTATATCACGCCAAAAGTTTTAGCGTTAATGAATTTTCACAGAAAACAGTTCAACTTACCTGTTGCAGTGGGAACTCTATACATCGTAGGGTCCCTAGATTTCATTCGCTTCACCATCCATACTAGTACCACTAGTACAATGAAGAAAACCGTAACCGCTACGAAGACACCAATGTACAATGAAATGGCAGCACTATCATTGGAAGATGGAACCACTACAATGAAATTATGAAAATAAAATAAAATTATCAAACATTTTGATAGACAGTAATAACAGTTGCATAATCAAAAAATAGCTTATCAATAATAAGACAAATAATTTTGCTAACCTCTTACCCTCTTCCCTAAAAAATGAGCAAGCCAATCAATTGTGTATATAATGTTACTTGCCTGGGAACTTTCTGATCATGTTGCTAAAAGTTAGACCTTCCAATTAAATGCATTCTGTTATTCTTAATTTCTACTTTCAATTTTACAACAAAGTGATGCAAATGAAATTAATCAAACAACTATAACTGAGGGTTGAAGTTATCAGCAATCTCCCGTGAAATGTTTGTTGATACCGCAAGAGGATATACGAATCTAATCGAGCGATATAGATATAAACTAATCGAGCAATATAGATGTAGCTATGTTAACAGCAGTGAGCAAACCTGCCTGTTTACCGTTAGTTTAAATTGTGTAAACAAAAGGCATGACCCACGGGAAATCGGAAATGATAAAATTTCAATAAATACGCTCTCAAAAATACGTCGAAAAGCAAATAATGTTTAATTAAGAGTGGTCTCCATCATTAATATTACATTAATTTTACATCTTCTGCTTCGTTGAATAATGGAAGTCTATTTGCAAGAATAGTTGCGTATTTAAAGTCCATAGCTTTCATTCTGAAAATGTGGGCTGCTAAAAGCTTTGGAGCACTCTTTTTATCTTATTGTATAATAACACTAGGCTATAATATTTTGTTCGTTTAAATAGGATCTGACAGTTTTCCAGTGTCATCACAGACATAGATATTTACTTTCTGGCTAAACTTTTAATATAACTTACGTTTTATCGCTTATGTTCAAATACCATCAAAAGAATTTTGAGATAAGTGTATATTACTGTACTGGACTGAATGTAAGAAGGCTTTACATACAAAATTAACCCAAGATATCTGAAGATATTTTATAAAAAAAACGTAAAAGCTTGCGCATATGAAAATCTCACATGTTTGAAATAAGTATGTTGAAGAGTCAACTTAGTTCAAACATGTGTATATCACATGTTTGAACTAAGTATTGCTCATTAATTGAACAGTTTACTAGATTTTTGAGGTAAAACTATACCCTATACCAGATTTTGAGGGTAAGCAGATACTCTCTTTTAGCACTAAAATTATTATTACTGATGGTCTTATAACAAAACATATACATCCATAATAAACTAAGCTGTCGGAAAACGTCTTTCGATGAATTATGTAAACTATATAATTTCAGTATCAATGATATTGTAGGGCTCATTCAACAAGCCCTACAACATTGAGAAGGGTGCATCACGCAGCCCATTAGGACCAGGTTTTCTCAATCACGGGAATTTTCAGTTGGATTTTCAACTTTAATATTATAAGCTGTATAAAAAAATGTCTTTAAGATGTAACTGACGATGCTACGAACAGTTGTTTGAGTTAGAAAAGGGTATATCATAGGCCTATCAGAAATGGTTTCATTCAAGAGAAGTATAAACAGTCATTCTGGTCAAAGCGACATAGCAGTTTCTCGGTTTAGGCAGTAGTGTAGATCCCAAACTGCACCTATACCAATGCAGAGATTGAAGATACTTTACAATATGTGAGAGAGTATAATTCAGTCAGAACGGATACGATCTATAATCCATTCAAAGGCATCCGTTTTCTTTCATGCAACCTGTAGTATCAAGAGTATCATTAGAAGACGAATGGCAGAAAACATTTCTCGACGTTGACCACAGGCATCAGAAATCTTCCAATATAAGCACAGCCTTCTGCAGATGGATATATATCTCTCTATCATTCTGAATCCAATTGGAGGAACGTTGATCCCCTTCATTCCATGCTTACAACAATGTGTGTGTCCGGAGAAGGAGCGATCAGCTGTTCGATCCTCTATTTATTATTTAGCGGCACACAGCCATCCTACATGGCGTGACAATCTAAGTAGCCATCACTTGGAACAATCGATCTTCTCCAGTTATACTGAAAGACATTTTGACAGTTCTCAAGCGAGTCGACGACATTTTGCAGCCGATTGTAGGGCCTATATTGAGTCGTCTAGATGCTGTTTTCTAACAGACAGTGACCACAAACTGCAGGAAATTCCCAACATCTTCATAGATTTATTAACTTTCTTTAACTTAAGGATGCCGAACTTATCACCAACGGAAAACATCATGGAATGCGACATGTTAGGAAGACAGTTAAAGTCTTCTCAGAATACTATTGAATTAGATGATAATTTTAGAAATATGTGAAACTTCCGCAGGGCGGCCGTAACGCGCCTCAAGCGTTCTTCTACATTTTAAAACTTTTAAACATTTAAAACGCTTTCTAAATGCTTACTTCTTTGAGTTTTTACTTTTGTTTGTTCTAATACCTCCTAGAGGGCAGTACTAATCAGGCATTCTATTTTTTATTGAATTTGCCCCTGGATTTATAAATATTCGCGCCATTTTACATAAGATACAAGACAGTGAGAAATGGCTTCAACGTCTACTCAGCAGAAAAAGAGAAAAAATGAGGTTGTGAATTGGAAAGACAAAAGGATATACGTTTGATGAGTGCAGTCCATAATAACTCGATGATGGATGTTGGAACGCGGAAAGGAACTGTAAAAAAACCAATAATTGTAAAGAATTACAACAACAAAATGGGAGGAGTGGACCGCCTGGATCAGATGTTATCAAAATTATCCTGCTGTTAGAAATAAGCACAGATATTATTATTTTTCCATTATGCTTTATTTCCTTATAATTTTACCTACTATTCATTGACATTCATCCACTACGAAAGTCATGTATGGAAAGTTATGATGTACAGAGAAAACAACATTACACGCTACGAAAAACAGACGGCCGCTGGGGGGGGGGGAATTTTCGCGAACAGGAGAGGACGGCGAAAGGGTTAAGAGTACAAATGAAAAAACTCACAGTTTCACTCATGCGTGTAGTCGGATTTGCGCAATGCTAATGGGGGTCCCACAAAATTTTCCTAAATACTAAGGAAACCCCCAAAAAGTTTAAGAAACTCAGACCTCCTGTGGAGCGGAGTCAGGACACCTGGGTGACTGGGCCGAAGGCCCTACCCCAGATCGAAAGTTTGAGATGTTCTTAATCGTGTAGACATAACAAGTTAACATTAGAAATCGAAGACGGTGATGAAGGAATTAGAAAAGTAAATTTAGTATAAATTTGAAAAATCAGTACTAGTAGTGGTGAGTTGTGCATCTGGAAAATAATCGAGCTGGTGACTAATAAGCAGGAGACAAATAGTTACATAATTACAATTAAAACATGTCAAGGTGCAAAACTTATGGTGACTTAATTAACAAAGTGGGAATAATTTACAACACTGGTAGACGAGAATAAGATGAGGTGAAATATAAGAATAAGGGAGAGCACTACTACCGAGAATATATAAATTTTACATAAATGAGGGTACATGACATATTATTTATTAATAACATATGAGTTGAACACTATTAATAACGTCGTACCAGCTCGAAGGCTCACCAGCGAATCTTTAAGGAACTCTGCACTAAACCATTTCTTAACTAAACTAATCGTTCGTCTAATTCTAATAATCATTCTTTCACTAAACGATTTCCTTTCATCATTTATTAATTAAAAAAGAATTTTCAAACTCTAATCATATTCTCTCTGCGAAAATCAATTATTCAAATTCTAATCTTCAGATGATATAAACATGCCTAGTTTCATGACTATAACTCAATTTTTATGAACGCGTTGGCAACGAAGTAGTAGATTATGGTACCGTATTTTTAAACGTTAGGTTACGTATGTAGAACAAGTATGGTCTTCAGACAAACATTTTAAGGAAAGAAAAAATAATTTTATATTCAAACCGATACAATGTTTAAAAACTGTTCTTACGAGTTAAAAGTTATTTCTTAGCAGATAAGAATAGTTCATGGAGAAAAACTGGCAGACAAAATATGCGCTCAGTCTATAATAAATTTATCACTAGACAGGAGAAAAAAAAAGTAAACAGAGATAATTAAGACAATAATGTAATAAAAGCTACGGTAGAAGAAATGCTAAGTCACATAATGTACCATCTTTACATACAAGATCATGTTTCGAAGAGGAAAAAGCTCTGTATTTTTCAGTGCTGTCCTCCCCTCCCCGAAGAGATGAATAGAGTTTTAATATAAATAAAATGCAAAGTCATATAGATAGTTTCAGCAAAGTGTAATGATTTACATTAAAGTGCTTTCTTCGGCGATTTATGAAAGATTAAAAAGGCCAAAAAATGGATATAAAAATAACCGATGAAATAAAGTAGCAAGGGCGGCCAAAGATAAGATATAATTCGTCAATCAACGATCAGTTAATGAAGGAGGCGAAGTGAAGGCCTGAAGCCAAGATATATCGATTAGAAACCACAAAGCGGGTCTAATGGGAAGAACTGCTCCCCGCTGGATGCCAGAAGTTGCCAGATAATTGAATTAGTGTGTCTCTTATCTCTGAATTGCAGGAATCCTGGGTAAAGTCTATGTTTACGTCAGCAGAACAAATATTTCTTTTTTTCTGCGTGCGTTGCTTCAAGACTTGCACGTAAGCTTCTTTCTCAGTTCATTTAGTTACTACCCAAGCAGCTGCAAAATCTTAACAGCATAAGAGTAATTGGGTACTTAGAATTTCCAAATTATTCTCCCGTTTCTTGGGTTTTTACGAAGGACAAAATACTTGACTCGTTTGGGGAAAGATGGAAAGGGGTAACGAACTTTACGCTATTTGAATAATTTGCAATCTAATTCTTTACCTGCATTACAAGAAATCAAATTTTTCTAAATGTAATTTTATAGTTATATTTCCCTATGAAATGGCTATAACCTATCTGCATGACAGGAAATGGCAAATTATTGTACGTTAATTTTATTACATTATTTCGTACATTTTAATAATCTGGTTCTCCTTTCAATCTCTAAACTCTTTATCTTCATCTGGTTTCTGAGAACTTCTCTGTTATTGGAGAAAACAACAGAAATATTTCAAGAACGGTACATATGCATGTAAAACATGTTCATAAATTAATGTATGTTACAAAACGTAATATTAAACAATGTTGCATTCATTATACATGACCATGCAATTTAGACGGCTAACCAAAATATAAAACCTAATCTTTTAATAATTATTAAGATAGCAAAAGCAAACAAACAATCAATCAATAATAGTATTTTTCAAGAGAAAAATAAATAAACAAAAGGGAAAAAAATAAGGGGGGAAACTTGGCTAGGATATGAGGTTTGCAAAATGCTCATTACCATAAATGTAACTATTTGACTGACGCCTGACAAGATGATAATAAAAATAATGCATAAACATAATATAACTCTCTATAACGACATGCATTATACTGGGGAGACAGTTAATGCAATTTGATGGATAGTACATCACCATTCAATAAAAATGTATACATTAAGTTGGGAGATGCTGAATATAATAGCATGTTATGCACTTCCTGATTAAAAAAAAGAAGAAATATTCTATATTCAATTTATGTACATCAATGGTTTCAAACTGGCGGCCTGTGAGCCGTACGCGGTCCTTAAAACAGTTTTATGAGGCCCTTGAAAGCATTTTAAACTATGTATGTTATGCAAACATGGTATTGCAAAAATTTTAAGATTTTATTTATTTGGAGTTTAAGTTTACATTGCTTCCATTTCGATTAAAAACAAACTTAGATAATGCACCAGAAAATCTATATAGGGAGCTAATTAATTTACAATATATATAAAACTTATTCAAAAATAAAAATTTTATTGCGTTTTTTTTTTTTTTTTTTTTTTTTTTTTTTTTTTTTTTACTTGTCAAAAAGTAAGTAACCTCAGTTACGAATTTTTGCATAAAGATCAATCGATTTGTTTGGGAATATATTTATTTGTGAACAGATTTTTTTCCCAGTTGAAGATTACTAACAAAAGCATTAGACTGATTTTTATTTATGCGTCGAAAAAATTTAATAAATAAAAGAAAAAGATAAAATTAAAAATTTTTCATTTCGTTAAAAAAAATATTGTGGCTTATCAGCTGCTTTCTGATCGAGCATTCGGTCCACATGGAATTCGAATTCGAGATCAATGGCGTAAGGGGTACATATTGTCTGAACATAATATTCTCCCTAGTGAATCTGTCGAAGGTGATACGTCGAGATCCTGGCTTCTCAGATCTCCAAACTTAACCTCTTTTGATTTTTGCTGATTTTCTGCGATGGAGATCCATCAAAAGAGCCGTATACATTCCCTCCTTCTATTTTACAATAAATTCAGCAGCGAACTTTTGCAGCAGAGTATTTTATAAATGCTGAGCAGCGAAAAATGTGAGTGGCACAAATAAATTATTGCTCAAACGTACGTCGACTTATTTGAGTTGCGTAAGAACATCCTACATGGCATGGACAGACTATTAAGTTTATTTAGATGGGAAAAGTAAACTGTGCATTCGCTGAGAATCGGACGATGGATCTTCTAACCACTACACCTCAGCTACAATTGAGAAAAACGATTTTAATGCCGAATATTCCCCACTGTCATCTAAAGGATATTGAGAGAGATGACGAACTCAGTTCATCAAATCCACCACATTTTAGCTCAGACATGTGGTGGCTCAGACAGCTCAGACATACGGACTAATAATTTTTTTAGTGCGGGAATTGTGAAACAACAACTGTGTTATCGTCGAGAATCAAATCAAGGATCTTCAGATTGCTAGCTGTATGTGTTGACTACTAAAACACAAGGGTAAATAGAAAAAACGACTGGCAAGCAAACTTTTATCTTAACTCTATTAGATGATATATAATATGTTTTTCTATGAAAAAATATAACAGTATTGTAAGAACATCAAATTTCTCTTTCTTTTTGAAAACTATGTACGTACTGAATACATAAATATGCTCATTTTATACAGAGCAAATGAACACGGTGTTCGGCAGTTCTTAGAAATTGAAGAAACTTATATGGAAGGAATTTTGGTCTTTGACTGGTCGTTGAGAGTATGAATTACAAAGACTCTTTCAGTCGCAATTTTTTCATGCGAATAATCTTTCATCCATTAAATAAGCATTCCAGTCGTACTTTAGTTTAAAAATAATGAGCGAATAAACTAAAACAAAGGCAAAAACGAGGTAACAGCTTGTTCACTTACCTTCTTCAGAACGGCTGCTGCCAAACACCACAAAAGGATCTCTATCTCTTGTTGCTGGAAAGAGAAAAAAAAAAAAAAAAAAAAAAAAAAAACGAATTGAAATATTTTAGTTGTAATCTCATTATGGCTTTTTTTTTTTTTTTTTTTTTTTTTTTTTTTTAGGAAAGTTTTTGATAAAGGAATAAAAGAATAATTGTTAGTTAAAAGCGATAAGGCGGAACGTCTAGGATTATTTCCGGATCAAAAACCGGATCTGTTTTGCCGACGAGTTTCAGAGTAAGATGTGTTAAATACCCTGCCATAGGTATCAATAGTACATAAATGTAGCTTTGTCGTAAAATTCGTGTGCGTTCCAAATTTGAAAAAAATAAAATAAAAATAAAAGACGCGATTTTCAAAAAGATATTTTTTTTTAATATAAAGAAAGACGAGTATTTAGGATAGAACAGTTTAGTTTGCTTCTAACTGTATAATTCTCACTGGGACGTAATAAGAATTGCATAGTTAATACCCACAGCATCTCAGTCCCCCATAACCAAGTGGCTAAAATCACTTACCATTTGGCACATCCACCACCATATAGAGACCGTAAGGTGAATCCAATTACCATCAGCAGGCAAGGCTGAGGCCAGAGACGATGCAAACGGTACAATAGCATCAGACGGTAGAATTTAAGGGTGGCAAAATTTTTTTAAGTTAGGGGTACTGGGTGGCAGAATTTAGGAACTACAGACATTGCAACAGGCGGCAATAAACCTAGCGCCGTGCATATTAGCAGTTCCTTTCTAATTCATTTGTAGCTGGACTAGATTTCCTTATAACAATCTTGTCATAAAAGATGCCACAATATTTATAGAAGTCCGCCTCTGTTCGAAAAGACAGAAAACTTCATAAAGATGCCTTCACTTTCATTAAGAACTGCTTCGAATTTGTAAAAAGCAATGTCATTAAAAATTTAAACATTTATGTCAGAGCATGGCTATGAAAATAATATTTTCATTTACTTTAATAATCAGGATAGCCAACAAATCTTACTTGCATAGCGTTGTAAGAACCGGCAAAACACAAATTGTTCACTCCGGCAAAAGAGGTGTCCACATCTTTATCAAAGATGTTTTTACAAGTTAGAAATTAGTTTTTATAAGGGGTCGAATTTGTTACGTTAGAAAGAATTCCTTACGAAGAATCCCCCCCCCGGAATGGTAACATACTTCTATAAAGGTGTAGGAAGCTTTAGGATATGGATTTGGAAAAGCTTCAGTCTATGCAAATTCTTATAAAACTTGCAATTATCCCCCCTTTTTTTTCTCTCTCTCTCTCTCTCAAAGAGTTAGTATGGGAAGGCATTACCAGTTGACCTATGGTACATCGCTGGTGTTCCCCATACTTTTACCTTTACCTTTACCTTTAGGATATGGCACCGCAATGAAACGATTTCAGGCTTAGTTGCATAAGGCTTTCGAGATCTTCTTAATATGCAGCACTGTTACGAGCAATTTCGGCTTAAAAAGTCTTTAACGAAGGTTCCTAGGATACAAAGCCTCGAATTTTTTGCTGTAAAGCGCTTTAAATTTGATCCTGAAAATCTCCAAAGAAGCTGAAAAAGATTTTAACTGAATATGCTGTGTATGACTATACAGAGGCTAAAATTAACAATCTTAGACTTATATATCTGAAATGCAAATACCACACTGCAAATTACCCATAGTGCATATGAGAAATACAACATTTTAACTTATCGGTTGCTGTAATGTACAAATTTGTACACTGTATAAAAGGAAATTTAAGTAAAAATGTTATCCTTCTGTGAGTGTGATCTAATGATACGAATGATTAGCACGTTCATCTGACCAAATGGAAGATCAGCGATTAGAATTCAAGTAATGGTACAGTTGATTTTTCCTACTTTCTCCATCGGGAAAGCCTATATGAATATGATATATTCATAGTTTGAAAAAAATCCTTTCATTGCTTTTACTATATTTCCGCCGTATTTCAAATATACTCAAACTGATTAGTAACAGTTAGAATATTGCTCAAAGAATTACTCTTAGCTTATTTTTTGAAACATTTTGAGGAGAGAAATACTTGTTAAAGTTAGATTATTTACCACAGCAAAACACTCGGAGGCTCCATGTCTTCGGCAGTATGTCTTCATGGAGAACTTTCTAAAGAGAATTGTTAAATACTAAATTAATTTCTCTCAGTACTGAATTATCGCCATTAAACGCAGCATGAAGGGAATGATTTTATCAGCTAGGAATTGAACCAGCAAGAACAGTTTGATTTACAGTCATTTTCCACGTTTTCTACATACCGCACTACTGGGAAATATTTTCTAAAGAATTTCTTAAGTTTTTAAATACACTACACTAAGTATGTGCAGTACTGTAATGCATACAAAACTTTAAAAAAAATTCTTTATGTATTGATATGCATCTTTTTACCGTATTTGTTATAGTTATTACTCTCGGCCACTGGTGGGCATCAGTTTTCCTTAAGAAGTAAAAAACTAACTCTCCTTAACTCATTTAGTTTTGCCATTTTTGTACGTAATAAGAGCCAGTGGAAAACAAAATTAAATGTTAAAAAAAAAGTTAAACAATACCTACAAGTTAACGACAGGCAAAAATACGGCAATTAAGTATCCCAAACTGAGGGGGAAAAAATTACGCTGCCTTTTTTTTTTTTTTTTTTTTTTTTAATACGACGAGGGATTTTAGTAACATGCGTATAAACGGATAAAAAAGTGTTTACCCTATCATTTATAACAGAATGTAAAAAACGAGATTTTTTCTCCATCTGATATTTTTTGCGCTATATTAAAGATTATGAATTATTCCGGTTAAAACGCTGAATTACTTTCCATTTCTGAAAACGAAATTTGAGGAAGAAAGAAACAGGTACGAAGAGCTTTAATACTTTTTTTTAAGGTTTCAAAATGTTACGTGATTTAAAGATAACGATCACGCAAGATGTTCGTTAAAAACACGAACATTTCAAGCACTTGCCCTTTCGTGCGTTCTGAATTTTTGGGTGTAATGAAAAGTGGCCATACGAAAACACGCGATTTAAAACATCTGTCTCTCATAAGATATGAATGCTTTGGAAATTTATCTAATTCAAAACAGTTCTCTTCTTCACGTAATTCAATATAAAATTACAGACTTACATGAGCACTCAAACGGTTCTTCTCTTAAACTGGACACCACACGACATACCCTTACTGAAAAGTTTTGAAGCTTAATAATACTAAATAAAAATACTAAAATACGCAAATTCTAAAATATAAAACAAAAAATTTAAAATTCGAATATACTTTAGAGTGATAGAAAAGTTGCACAAATCGCAGTAAGCAGTAAACAGAATTACGTTGTTATTAGATCGAATTCGGAAGAATTTTTTTCCCTACCATATTCTGCTTGAAAGCTATAATTATATCTGCAGAGCATCGCGGTCAGAAAGTGTTGGGCTCTTCTGTCTTTATTTTCAAAGCTGCATTTCCTCATTAAAACTTCCTCACATACTCATGGGTATCTCGGTAATTTGGCGAGATATCGCCAAGCTGGCAACGGTTTTAGCGACTAATTTTTATCGCCAAACTTAGCGATCATTTGGCGACATTTTCGTCCGGTCCCTGTATCACCGTAATAAGTATTGCAATTAAATAAATGTAATTGATCACTGTATTAGCTGCAACCGTAATTCGGCCCTCATATTGCCTTTCAGTAATTTCAAGAAGCAGAAAGTACTATCTCGGCGGCCGGGTGAAAACTATATACGGTCAGTGAGAGCATTTGCTCCGAGTTGTTGTTATTAACTGTCAGCTCATCGTGAGCTCAAGTACTCTCTCCGGTTTAGCTTCTCTCTTTAGTTGCGCTTTGCATTCTGTTGGGTTTAAAGTAACGTTTGAAGTGTGGCGATGATTTTGGTGACTAATTTTTGTTTTTTTGAATTACCCGGTGAATAAAATTATTTAGAGAGAAATCACAAAAGTCGCCAAAATTGGCGGCCATTTGCCATGTCGCCAAATTGGTCCTGTTCCTGTATGGAAGTAATAGGTATTGTAATTGAATAAATGTAAGTGATCACTATGTTAGCTGCAACCGTAATTTGACTCACATATGCCTTCCAGTAATTTCGAGAAACAGAAAGTACAATAAAAGTGCCAACTAATTTTCCTTTGTAGATAGAGTAATCTTTAGATTTAGCCGCTGTGTGGCAATGATAATTAAGACAGCAGCATAATGCAAGTATGGCATTTACAAGTGAACATGTAGCTTACCGCATTATACAAGTCGCTAAATTTGAAGCGGTTCTGATAATATTGCCAGATTTCTTTAAAAACTTTTTTTTAATTTCCCGCAAGATATTCAAGCTGAAACTGGCTGTCTGCGATGCAAAACAAAACACCAGTCGGAACAGTTGTTTGAAAGCGAAACATACCTAATCAACAGGAGTGCACATATCGAGTACCGTCACCCAGACGTTACTCGATATGTGCACATGGTTAGGGAAGCCTACTGAGGGCCCCTAGGGTTCAGGTTCGAATCTCGAAGAAGGCATGGTTGTAACTGACCATCCCTTCATAGGCAGTAACGGTGGCTGCCCATTAGGTGCCTCCACAATAAAATGGCAACCAGTTTTGGCCTTGGAAGTGGCCAATGCTGAATAGGGAAGTATCCGCCATTGGATTAGAAGAAATAACGAGTACCAGTGTGTTACATACAAAGCAGATTCTTTACACAATAATATACCCCTTTTGCTGTATTTGTTAAAATTATTATAGTATAAGTTTTATAAATCTGATAGGAAATTACAATTACCCTGCAGTTCTAGTAAAATTCTAGTAACTTATAAATCATATCTTTTTGCGTGTTCCATCGCATCGATTAGGGTACTAAACCATGGTAGAAGGAATAATCTATTCCTTCCTCCGTACTTTGCACTGACCCCCTTTGCCTTGAGCTTGTGATGTCAGAAGCTCCTATAAGAGGAGAAATAGAATCACTTGCTTGCTTGAACACTCCTGATTTCCCAACCGCAGACGGCGG